GCTAAAGGGAGAGAAGGAGTTGGTTTGTACATGAGGACACGGAATTGATTTGATATGTCTCCTTTGATCCTCTGACTCTTTGTTTCTGCTGTGGTCGTATTCTCTGGGACCCCCTAATGTTTTTGCTGCTCTGTACTTCTAACTGGCAATCATGAGCTGAATGGATATCTTGTCACTGAATGATGGGCTGGGTTGTTTTTGCTAGGAGTCTCGAACGAATTTCCGGTCTTGAGGTTTGGGTCTTCCTCTCCATGGCTTCCCGGGTCGCCGGGTCCTCACTCACTTTGCTCCCGGCCAGGCAGGTGAACCTCGCCTCGCAGTGGTATGCAAAAGGGGTGAAGGAGGATGTGGGGTCTGGGGTGGGAAGGGATGAAAGCTAGTCGCTCATCAAGTTCCACAGCCCTAGGAGGTTTTATCGGCCTAGGAGATCAACTAGGCTGTGCAGTAGGTGGCCTTAGACCGACTCAAGTTGAAGGGGGAGCAAAAGGATTAGGTCAGGTTAGGGTAACTAGGCCGAAACTACCGGATCCACGCCTTGGGGTCTGATTCTTTACGGTTTTCACGAGTTCGACCTTCTTCTCTAGGGAGCGATGTGAGGATCAGCAGAGCTGGAGTTCAGAGAGTCTGATGGTCTTGGGTTGAAGATGATCGACGTAGTGCTGTTGAGCTGGACCCTGACTCTGACGCTGATGGAGGGACTAATTGCCTGAAGTGTGATCCGGAGACGAAAGTAGTAAAAGGGAGGGTGGGGTTTGTTGAATGTAAAGGGGGTGACTAGATGGGGAAGAGGCTCAGGAAAGAAAAGACCAGGAACCATTTTTGAGTCGACTGGGTGTTTTGTATCCGGGATGGGATGGTGGTGTGTTCATGTTCTTGGAGTCTCCTGCTGTGGTGGAGAGGAAATTGCTTGCGGCTTTGTGGGTTAGAAGAATGTGGATATCTGTATTGGCCTCGCTGTGTAAGGTCTCGCGGATCGGCTGAGGTGCTTGACAGAGATACATGATCAGTCCGAAGTATACTCGTGCACATGTTGAGAAGATAGGAAAAAGATGTGGTGATGGTGGAAGGACCCGCCATAGCTCAAAGCGCACGACATCAAAATTTCCCGACAAACATGATTACTTCACAAACCACATGGCTGCGTGGAACCCTGATCTCATTCAATACGAGAGAGATCTCGGGAGCTTTCCCTTCAGCCAAACAAGGCAGACAGACAGACACAGGTCCGATCGGAAGCTGCCGTGCAAACAAACTTCCCCCATCCCTCCCCATTGGACTCGACTAAAACTGCCGTGGGCGCCGCTAGTGAAAGTCAAAGAGAATAGCTCTGGGCCCCGTCTTGGGGTAAGGTAGTCATTACTCATTATGAAAGACTATGGGAACTTCAAACAGAGCTTTTTACCTTGGCCCCATCTTCCGCCCCGCGGAAATTATCCTAGATGCTGAGAAGGGCAATTCGATGCTATCAACTGTCGGGGTCTCGCCGACAGAGGATATAGCATTAGCATTGTATCATCTGGCCGAACCATTGTCATTGGCGCTTGTTTTTTCCGGGCCGGACAAGCTTCTGCCGTTGTTTCTGAAAAGGGTGGTGTACCGTGGACAAAGGGGGGAGAAGGGGAAAAGTCAAGATGTCCCGTGTTCAGCTCGTGATGGATACGCAGTTTTTGTGTTTGTTAGTTTTCCTTTCTTCGGTTCTGGTTGAGGCTGAGGAGCCCTGAGATCGATCTTCGTGTGGGAAAATCAGGATGTGGTCCATGTGCCGCGTTTGATCCACTGCTACCACTGTTGAGGATGCGATGGGAAAGCCCACAAGGCACAAGCAGTTCGACCACGATGCGATGCGATGCGATGAGATCCAGACCCGCACAGTGTGCAGAACTTCGATTCAGGGAACCATGTCGATCCGCGAGCTTTGACGGTTTCTATGTTGACGATCATCACATCCAGTGCGGATGCAATGCCGAGTCGGAGCTGCAGAACCGGTTGAGATATCTGGTACAGTACTATGGATGTGTACGCTGGAAGCGGTTCAAGGTAGGTTAGGCGGGCTCTCGCACCCACGGCACCCACGACAATTTTACGAGGCCGAAGAGCTATCGGCAATAACTGCCGATGTCATCAGTCAGGTCCTGGGAGGAAGATTAGCCACTGTGGCCGTAATTGGTTAGAATCCCTCGAGACTTTTTATGAAGGCCTGAAGCAATTGGACTTGCCGCTTGGAACCAGTTGTGTTATCTCTACTCGAACCGGTCGGGATGATGCCAGACAGGCCCGAACCAGCGGGCAACATTCCATGGAATCTGCCAAGAATCGCGTGTTGATCCATACACCATTCGACTCGAATTCGAAAGGGGTCAAGAAAGGCAGTCAGATCGCAGGAGGCTTTTACTCGTAGCAAGAACCCTATCGTGCGGATGCGGGATTTATCTGCATTGTGTAGCGGATTCCATGAGGATGGACTAGACTATGGGGTACAGCAGTCTTCGGGAAAGGTGCCAACAATAGAAAATGATTGTCGCCCTCGGACGATGTGGATCTGGGCTAGTCGCACCCTAATTCCTAACGATGACAATGATGCGCGGCTGAAGAAACCGCGGATCTGCGCTGCAGTTTATCAAAGAACTTCTTTTCACTAGTGTTGTGCTCGTTGGGAGATCAAGTTGACCATTGATGAGGGCCACATCGCAGATAGATCAACGCGCCTTCTTCGACTCGGGTTGACCTCTGAAGAACCCATGGGGCCAGCGAGCATTATCGCAGGATTAGATGCTTAAGTAAGACAACGCCTCCTGATGACTTTCGACAGGCAGTGAGTGGAATCTCGAATCGAGCGGCGACATTCCCTGGCCTCCGGAAAGAATTACTCCGAGCGGTCACCATGAGGGCCAGCTGAGTCCGGTTCCTTGCAGAATCACAGGTGCCATAGGATGAACGATGCTTGCGCCGAATCAACAACAAGATGTCCATCTTGACCGATAGCAGAAGGTGGAGGGCAGAGTTCGTGCAACCAGATGGTCCAAGTGCACCCCATGTCCATGGACTCGGGAAGACTCCGAAAGCATCCTTGCCCCTTGCAGAGCTTGTATGCATGTGTAGGAGTTTCTGGGGAAGGTCGAACATGCAACCAACTCCCTGGTGTCGGTAGAGGAAGGAACTTTCAACAACCGAGATCGGCATGCAAGCCATAGAGCTCTTGATCAGGCCAAGAGGCCCGGGGGAGGCTACTGCGTAGTGTACCGTGCATGTGAATATGAATATGGTTAGAAGCTAGCATGTCTCTGTGGGTTTCAGTACCAAGAGGATGCGGTCCGTAGATCTAAGTTGTTCTTGACTTCACAGAACGGCCAGGCATGTTGGTGCATTAGACAATCGATATCGATACATATGCGAATGGACAATTCTTGGACTGTCATTCATGCCCAGTCGGTTGGCTCAACCGAAGAGACCAAGGCCTGGTTGAGTTCCTGTCCACGGTCGGAACATGCTAACCAGAAGTGTCGGCTCCAACGAGCCCTTCTTTGTTCCTGCCGCCTGGAAACAAGTGGGGAGATGCCAAGAGACTCGTCGGCTTGACCCAGGGTAATATCCGTTCCCCTTCCTCTTTCTTCCCTTTCTGTCTCCTTCCCTCATACGTACTAACTAACTTACTGAGTATCAGTTAATAATCAGTCACCGCTAATCCGCTTTGCGAGAATGGTCCAGCCTCTCTTCCTTCTATGTAACCTTCCTGGTGGCGGACTAGCCACTTACGCCAGGAGTCCAGCTGAGACAATGGGGTCATACCACCACTACTATACTATTTTGCTAGTCAGGGGAACCTAAACTCTGCGATCGCACAATCCTATTCTTATTCCCAACACACTCGTTCATCTGCCTTGTGCCAAGCCTCTGTATTGCCGCCTACGGTTAATCCAGAGACAAGAACTGACTTGAGTACCCCAATTGAGCAGGACACGCCAAACGGCGAGGTGTGTGCATGTTTGAACTCAAGCCGTGCACGCTCTTGTCACGGGAAGCACTTGCCTGTGGAGAAGCATTTCACGTATGGAGTAACTTACCGCGGTAGACTTTCCGAGACTCATTCAGTTCACACGCAACAATCTAGCCTCGAGGTGACGACGGGCTGCGAGTCAGACCAACGTGGATTGGGAAGGCGATCGGCGTCTCAGCGGGTGGGGCAGGCGAGTTTCTGGAAGGCGACAGCTGGACAGACATTCACAGGCTCACGATTTTAGTTCCCCCTAAGAGGGCATCTCTGGTCTCTGCCCTCACCGAGATGGGACAAGCGAAAGGCAAACAAACTCTGGTCTGGGGTTGTGGCTGCATCCTGCCACCTGCATCGACGCGACATCTCAAGCCGCGGTAATCGATCCTGCCAATAGACATAGAGGCTGCCTCTTCATCCCTGCTCATCCTTCAATTTGCCCGACGCTCAGACTCAACTCCAATCTCCGCCGGCAAACAACCCCGAGGGGGGAGGGAAGCACACAATAAACAATGCGAGCATCATGATTGTGTAAATGATACACAGGACAGTGTAGTCTCGTCTACCCGTCGTCCACTTTCCGGATGCCTTCCGTCTCTTCCTATCCGTCTCTTCCTATCTGTCTGTTCTCCACGGTTGTCCCCTATGCTTGGCATGGGGCTCGCTGCCAGGTCGCTGAATGCGATGTTCCCATGGCCAAGGTTTCAGGGACCACTTCTCGCCGGACTAGCCGTCTCTCTCTCACTCCGTCCCTAGGAGGCTAACGATTCCCAGTGATAGCTTCTGGGCGCGAGTGAGCCTGGAGGATATGATGGGCAGCTAAAAATCCACTAATCCATCAAAAGCTTTGCTAGAGGCTCATCTCCCCACAATGGTCCACTCGCCGTTGCCGGTGCTTTTAATCCAGTCCATACCGTTGTGGCTCGTCCCTCTTCGACCGCCACGGAGAATTGCTATCTCCCCCTCCTCCTCCATCTTCCCTCTCATTTTTACTTCTGAGAACCTGCGATAAGCGTTTCTCCTGGATTCGGAAAGGGTGCAACGAGTGTCCCCCCTGATCTGAGCTCCTGCCGATTATTGCACCTTCTGGTCTGTTCACAACTCAAACTTTGGGTCGACCCATTGAGTGCCCAGTGACCACGATCTTTGCCCCTTCAAAAGCATCGTCCTTCCCTCCGGGGCGCTGCTGCAACGATTGCTATTTACTTGAGGAGGGGGATGTAAGAGCAGTGCATCCGGACTCGCCACGTTCAAAGACGTCGCAATCATGAGCCTTGTTCAAGTACTGGATGCTCTGGGAGCATTCGAGAATGATCGCCACGATCTCTCTCCTCGTACATACTTGAGGGATGGGGTAACGATGGATATCGATCCGCTTCCGAGCACTCAGCGCAAAGGTCTCATTGCCGTCTCGGTCATGGCCATTCTCTCATTTTTAGCGACACTCGCCTTGATATCTTTCATCACCTATCGACTCGTTTTCTGGCGGGGATCCTATGCACGGTATATCGGTTATAATCAATACATCATCCTGATCTATAACCTTGTGTTGGCCGATCTGCAACAGTCGCTCGCTTTCTTGATTTGCCTCAAGTGGATACAGGAGGACAAGATATCTGCCGATACTGCTGGGTGTTTCCTCCAGGGTCTCTGGCTACAGATTGGTGATCCGTCTAGTGGTCTCTTTGTGCTCGCGATTGCTATTCATACATTCCTTTTGGTGGCTCTAGGTTATAAACTGAGCCATCGGGTCTTCGTGGCATCTGTGGTGGGGATTTGGGTCTTCGTCGCCATTCTGGTTGTCATTCCACTCGCTTCACATGGGCGTTATGTGTTCATTCCCTCGGGGGCCTGGGTACGAATCAGTGTCCATGACAAGCGGTTGTGTTAAGCTAATTTGTTCCTTAGTGCTGGATCAGCGAAGACTACGAAGCGATGCGTTTATGGACACATTACATCTGGATTTTCCTGGCGGAGTTCGGCACCGTCACGCTTTACGCCATTATGTGGTTCCAACTCCGTCGCCGCATCAAGCAGTCCGCGATTCTGGGCAACAGCCACATCGAGAGTCTGAAGCGCCTCCGTCGTGTTATCGGATACATGGTTATCTATCCGATCGCTTACATTGTGCTCTCCCTTCCTCTTGCCGCCGGACGCATGGCCACCGCACAGGGAGATGCTCCGAACATCGCTTACTTTTGTGTCGCCGGTGCTATGATCACCAGTTCCGGCTTGGTCGACGCGTTACTGTACACCCTGACTCGCCGCAATCTCATCCTGGAATCGGAACCCAGTCACGATCACAGCTACAAGTTCACCAGCAGCAAGAACCGCAAGACGGACAACAACCATCTGACAACCATCACCGCCGACCCCAAATACAACCGTACCGACATCAGTGCCCTTCGCATGACGCGCCACGAAGAAGAGGATATGGAGCGCACCGTACGCGACGGATCCACCGACAACATCGTCCAACCCAGCGGAGTCGAGCTGTCGACCCTGGGCAAGGTGTACCAGCACACGACGATCGAGATCACCAGCGAGCCGGCCTTCCCAGTAGAGGGCGAAGCGAGCGATCATTCAAGCAAGGGGTCATTCGACGGCTCTCCCGACAGAGGCAACGGGCAAGCAGCCCGCATGTGGGGAAGATAGAGACCGCAATGGCCAGCCGCCCCAATGTGATGCCCGTCCGATGGCCCGGACACCTTGACGCCTTGTATACTCACATTCCCTTTTTCATATCATACATTTAATTTCACGTCCCCTCTTTCATTCTTTACCCTGATCTATTGGGGCTCGGGACATTCACCCCTGACTTTTCCTATTACTTTTTTTGCCGGGGCGATTGTCAGCGGCCAGATCCATATACAAAACTTATGCCCGTGTATATATTGACCTTCTGATACAAGAATTCCAAACCTAACGAGATGCACAAACCTATCATAGAAGTCTTCCTGTCCTTTAGGGCCCACCATGCATCCTCAACGCCATGTTTGCTAGGCTAGAGCCGTCCTTAATTAGTGCTGGTCCTCAAGCGCTCCCCGTGGTTAAATGGGTAGTATGTACTAAGTCATGCAAAATGATGTCATTATGGACTCAACCAGTTTACCATGACCAGATGCCTGAGTAGAGGTTCCGGAATTGTCAACATTGTGAAAGGACCTAGCAATACTGAGAGAATCCTCTACTAAGCTAGAGTAGAAACAACAAAACAAAACAACAAAACAACAAGGAGAAAGGTGGAAAAGGGAAAAGATACCCTTCCATGAATTCCGCGTATATTGCAAGAACGTATGATATGATATGGTATATATATAATGCAAGAAGAACGAATCGCTCTGTGCTGTGCTGTGCTATCTACCAACTAAAGCCATCCCAAATGCGAATGCAAGAATAGATCGAGACGTGAGGATGAAAGAAGGAAAAGCGGCTGTTGCCAACCCTTGATTTAGGGACATTCCCTCCATCACATACGATGACTCCACGTTATTGTGGTTAAATGGTCACATTGGAAGCAGCCGTGTAAGCAAACCCGACTCTCCCGTCTTTGTCTCTGTCTGGTGGCTGTCTCGTGTGCTTCGTCAAGGTGGCGACGTGAATTTCACCTTCCGCGATACAGCTCGATCATCTCCCCCCGCACCTGTTTCGCTAGCGGCCACACTCGGCCTAGCACCTGCAGCGCGCCGACTCCCAGCTCGATGCGCGCTTTCAGGGCATCTTCTTTGGCGCCCTTGGTCGAAGATGCAGGAGGAGCGGGTGAAGACGACGACGACGACGAGACGCACATCATGAAGGTCGCCGTGTGCACGACGATGGCGAGCGCCAGGGCGCATGTGAAGAAGGGGGTGCGAGACTGCACGGAGCTGGGGAGTGTGGCTAGGTTGGAGATCAGGTCGGCGGCTCGGAGCATCTTCTGGGCGTGGATGTTGAGCGGGAGGTGGGGGGAAGGGGTGGGGTTCGTGGGATCGGGTGTTGATGATGCGGATGCGGATGCGGATGCTGTTGATGATGATGGGCTGAGGACGCGGAGTCTTGTGCAGGAGGATGAGGAGGGGTTGGTTGTCGTCGTGGTGGCTTGGGGGTTTGCGCGTTGGTAGGAGGCGAAGCGGATTGTTGAATGGGGGTGGTGGAGGTGGATCAGGCTTCTTTATGGTATTGTTTAGTGACTGTGTATGATGAGGGGTCACGAAGGGGGTGGAATCGGAAAGCATACAGGTAGGTGATCATTAGAGCCTGGAAGGCCATCTCGTCGATGGTGGATGCGTCGGTTATGGAGGGGGTTAAGGGTAAGCGCATGAGTAGGGAGACGAGCCGTGCGTCCAGCGTCTCGGTTTGTGTCTCGATCGCGGGGTCGAGGGATTGATTGAGCTCGAGCACAGCTCGAAGAAATTGTACTGCGTGGATGCGGGAGACGGAAGAGGTGAGGTCAGACGGCCAGTCGGAGAGACAGGACAGGGTCACAGATTCGGATTTCGTCTGGTTGGCCGTTAGATCATGACCCTCTATGGGAATGGGGGTCAGGGTTGTCCCTACTTCGCTACCACTAGCCCCTCCTGCAACCATGTTGTAGGTCTCCTCTGGTAAAGGGAGCCACACATCGGACTCCTCCCAGCCTGAAGAAAGCACCCCGCATTGCCCGGAGCCCATGGCGGCCATGAGTCCCTCCGTGACGTAGAGCTCCCACCAGGTTCGTCGCCAGCTTTCCTCCAACACGGGGTAGCCGTGGGAGTTCTCTGGGGCAAACGCCTGGGTCTGCATGCCGACGCTGTATGCAACCTGGATGGCCTCCCGGAGAAGTCGCCGTGCGGCCTCTTCGCGACCATGCGAATGCTCCAGGATGCTGAGCAGAAGGAGGCCTTGAGCTTGAAAGCCATCTTTCGGGGCGGTGAGAACGGTGTAAGCAGACTGATAAAAACCATCCTTGAGCGTTGGAGCAGAAGCATAGTGACTGCCGATGTAGCGCATGATGTCCGGAATATAATCCGGTACATGCTGTGCAACGGACGATGCCAGCGCCCGTCTCGGTAACAGTATAGGATGCGATCTATGAAAGTGGTGGTAGTAGAGCTGAACCATAGCATCATGGGTGATATCCTCGGTATGAGGGATATGCACGGGCGTTGGCGATGATGGCGCTGGCTCTTGCTGAAAAATATCAAGACTCAGGTCAGGAATGTCGAGGAGGCAATCTGGCTAGTTCCATTAGCAAGAGGTCGTCTTCGACGAGTGCTTGAGGGTAATGTATGTACATCTAGAAATGAGGCATCCAGCCAGTTCATGATATTCGACGAGAATAGAGCATCGGCCTCCTCTTCCGCTGTCGGTCCAGGGCCTGCCTTGTTACTCCGCAGCCCGCGACGTGATCGGACATATCGACAATCATGATTATTGTTCTGGCACCGAGTGCAGATGGGCATGCGCGCATCGCATTTCAGATGGCGGCGCCGACAGGGTACACAGGCGAGTGCGGAGGGTTTACCGGAATCCTGCATGATCTTGATAGAGACTGATTCATAGTGCCAGACCCAGGGACTACGGCTGACGACATCGCGGTGAATTATAAAGGAAGAGCGAGAGGCGTTATGGAAAATCGAAGACATCCACTTGCAGCCAAGGGGATCTGAACCCCGAGATTTGGATCCTCATGATCCAATCCCGCGAGACCCCGACTCGGGGACCATCGCAGATTGGCCCATTGCAACAGATCGACAACCTTGCATCTGGAGGCTGTTCATGACTTCATGCGTCTAGATTTCCGGGGCCCATTTTCCATCAGCGCAATGAAACCTGAAACAGAGCATTATGCTTTGAGATTGGTTCGGGTTTACTTGCGGCTGATTGCGACTTGTGCATAGAGTATTGTACAGGAGGGACCTGAACTCGGGGACCAAAGTGCAGGCATGTCCCGAGGGGTAGAGGGAGGAAAGTTTGTTGCATGAATGAAGGGGAAAAGAGGGGGGGGGGGGGCTTGCTGTGCTACGCAAGCCAATTGAGAGTATAATTCGGAGAATTTTCCCACCCTGGAGGGGATGAGTGATGGGAATACGGATAAAATCGAGTCAAGAACCATGAAATTGGGATGAAGTACATTCATGGATAGGAGATAAGTTAGATAGTCTCCCCGACCGGGCGGTACCGACTGCCCGGTTCAGGTCACGGGACCGTCAGGGGTTTCCCCGGAGAAAAGAAATTACTCCCCGTCTTCCATCGCAATCAGTCGGTCGGGATCCATTTCCAACAACCTCACCATTATCATCATTATCATCATCATGCATCGCCGTCATCCAGGATACAATTCTATGACTATTGTTATTTGTTAGGGCTCCACTACCTTAACACCGACTCGGGGTTCTGCTCATTTCAATGCACGTATCATCCAATGAGGGATCAATAACCATTAGTCGGCGATTTACGGGGTTCTAGAAGAAGGGAAGCCGACGCCTGTCAGACTGAGGTGGCACTGTGGCCTCCTCTTTCCACCTCCACTCGGGGAGCGGCTCTGAAGGGTTGCAATTTGCCCCGAGCCTATAATTATGCAGTTCTCTTATTAGTGCTTGCCTAGACTGCTCAGGGCTCTCACTTAAATGTCGAATGTCCTAGTAATATTACCAGCTTGAGGTTCAACCTGTGGATCAGGCTCGGAAAGCCCGAATGGTCCCCGACGCCGCGTGGCAGCCCCTCGGTTCCATCCACAATCACTCGGAGCAAACCTTGTATGACGACGGCATATACTATGTAGGATGGTCACAAGTAATAGTTCTATATCACGAGTATTATTATTGAACTTATGATCTGACGACGAGTGGGGATGCCACTCTATTTTAATCGAATCATTGAAATATCATGTTACATATATTGGCCGCTCGATCGACGGGTCACAAGTACAACTCACAGCAGTCAAGTGTTGAGCATAGTTCAACAACAACAACAACGCCACTCTAGCGATCATTTGTCACTGTAGCCTCAGAATCCCAGGTCACATATGCCTAATCAATAGTTCTGTCGGATTAGTGATATTTCTGCTTGCCTCTACACAGTGCCTTTCCGGTGGGGTGCTCGTCACTTATTCCTGGAACCTTAGACTCAACAAGAAATGCGTCGAGACCGTACTTCGCATGTCAACATCGAATACCTTACGGCTTCCGGCCATACAAGGCAACTTGGAATACGATTCTAGTTTCCATATTTGGAGCTCTACACAAAGGTCATTGGGCCGCATCCGCCCATTCATGAGTTTTTACGAAGACTGCTTTGGAACTGGCTCGAGGCAAGTTGAGCCCCCACAGATATTCGGTCAATGAATCCGAAGAAGGAATGTAAAGTGTCTCAGGTACATCCCCTATAAACCCATTTGGTAGACTCGGATTCAAGCAACACACCTACAGAGACAAGTCCTCACAGCCTAAGCCAAGTGCTTCCACCAGAAGAACACAAGCTGCAGCTTGAAATCCTTAGCAACCTCCTCCCCGCCTTTATTTCACATACTCAAAGTCATGGTCTCGCCCGACACTCTTCCCTTATACCTAAAGTTGATCGCGATATCAGCGACTAATCTGAAGTTTGAAACAAGGGGCCCCTACCAATAGTAGGTTCTGTCCTTCTCCTTCTGGAAGAACTCGATCTCCTTTCCCCCGGACCCATTGGTAGACACCTTGCTGACCGTGCCGTGGTGTTCGAGTTGGACTTAACCTGCCCGCCTGCATCCTTGGACCATTGAAGGATAACGGCCACACGGTCCCCGGTCAGGACGTTGTCGCGGAAGACGACCGAGAACAGTTCGTTGGTGGCGTAGGGGGCGGCGTAGCTGAACTTGCCGGAGTAGATGAACATGTTGCCTTTTAAGTTGCAGTGGTGATGAGGGCTTCGTGCTCTAATGAGTTGATGTGTTGCTCGCTAGGTCTGAGAGGCAGGATGCTGCTTTTATGAAGCATGCTGTCTATACTCGTGGCTAGGATGCAGGCTGACTATCGATATATCTATATAGGGTGGCTGGCATTACCCGCAGGTCAGTATTGTGATTGTGGTTGCATTTTCTGCAAAGTCAGGTAAGTCGATGTTCAAGTGGATGCACATCTCTTGAAAAGTATATGCCCGTGTAATCTGTGCTTAGTAGCTCTCCTGATAAACATGAGGATAAGAGGCTAGAAGAGGCAAAGACGGGAGCCGATCCAAGGAACCCAACAAGCCCACCCACTACTCGTCCCTACGTATAGGTATTCTACCATACTATCTGCCCGAGTCCCTGTCGATATGAGAAGGAGATTTACTCACCAATAGTGTGATAACCGTTACACCTTGCTGATCCCACATGAAGTCTAATGCCTGTGGCTTATGCCCACAGTGTGACTTGACGCTGCAGTCCAGGCTTAGTAATCTATCTGTACGTATTGCTGAGTTACGGTCACATATAGTCAATAGTGATAAACCGTCATCCGGAAAGACAGAGCAGATAAGTCGATGGAAATGGAAGGTGAAGGAATCCTGTCTGATCATCCATAATTCGCAACGAAACTAATAAACCGACCAGCATAATGCTGACTGATCAATCGCTTTCCCCACACGCCACTTGGTGCGTTATCATGGCATCGTCATCATCCGCCCAGTCCATTCCCCTCTTCAACAACAACAACAACAACAACAACAACAACAACAACAACAACAACAACAACAACAACAACAACAACAACCTCTGAAACTCCAACCAGACAATATGATCACCCACATCGTGCAACTGCAATTCAAGTCTTCAACCAACCCCGGCCGGGTCGAAGAAGTGCGTTTTTCCTATGCCATTGCCTCAAACGCGACCATCGAATTCTCGCTAACGTGACTGGATATATTCGCTAGGTATGCAGCAATCTGGTCGCGCTGAAGGACAAGTGTCTTCATCCGACCAGCCAGACGACATACATCAAGTCCTTCCGAGCCGGGAAACAGAACTCGCCCGAGGGTTTGCACGTATGTCACCCATCCCCAACCCTACGAGATGTTGGGGGTTTTTCACTAAACTCTCCCCCTGTCGCAGAACGGCATCACTCATGTGTTCGTCATGGAGTTCGAGTCCGAGGAAGACCGCGAGTACTACCTGAACAAGGATCCCGACCATCTGGCCTTCGTCAAGGGTCTGGGCGGGGATATTGAGAAGGTGCAGGTGGTCGACTTTACAAACGGCGTCTTTTAGATTCAGTTGCCCCGCCCGCCGCGCGCGCGGGCCGCGCGGGCCATCTCCCGGCTTACTACTGTGCCATTTGAGGTGGGACAAGGTAACTTAGAGGTGTTGACTGCACGGACTGCAGTCACCCGACCTGGGCTTGTAAATAGGTGATTCTCGGGCAAGGGTTGATAAGCAAATTTATGTTTCGCTGACATCTCAGTCTTCGAGTGGGTTGAATGACTGCAATCGAACCTCATCCCACGTTTTGTTCCATGCGATAAGAAGCGTAGCCGAGGCGACCCAATTCATTGAACTGCCGATCCCTCGATTTGCATTCCTCCCACACAGACCTTGCAACCGATAACACCAAGCGCCTAAGACTGTTAATGAGAGCGTAAATACCGAACTCTAACCTCACGCACAGCCCGACAAGACCTAGCTGACAACGTCCTACCAAGCTCCATCTGTAGTTAGCGGCCAATTACTCCACCGATTGTTCGCGCGTCAACACCAGGCTGGGTACATAGAGAGCAACCGTGACCGTTGCAAGTACTGCCAGGTCGGTATTAAGTCCCGTGCCCAATGAGGGTTAGCTGCTTACCTGGCACGAATTGATATCCATAGCCCAAGGAGGAACGAACGACTCGCTGGATATCTTCCGGCAGGGTATTGACGTACTTGGCATCGCGAAGCACATTGCGGATGATTTGATCGCATTAGTATCCACTGCCCAGATAATGAGTCGACAAAAAAGCTAGAGTGCGCGCTATGTACCTCAGTTTCGACTTGCTCGTTCAGCCGCCCGGCAATGTCGTACTTGAACCCGGTCCTCACGATCAGGGGTCCCATAGCTGCGCCCATGATCGAACCTAACTGCTGACTGAGGTAGTATGCTCCGACCGATGATGCGAGGATCTCTGGCGGTGCACGATTGGACATGCCGATAAATTCGCCGGAAATAATGATGCCGATCGGCGTACTCATAGGAATCACTAGCAAGGACTCCGCCACGGGATGATCGAAGTGCCACGAGAAGAAAAGGAGAATCGATGATATTACACTGATCACCGCAGCGTAGATACCTCGCTTTTTGTACCGCTTTGTTCTGGCCGGGTCAGATATGTTTGAGATAACACAAGAGACAAAGCGACATGCTTACCGCTGGATTGCGAAACCGGAAGCCATGGAACTGACTGCAAGTCCCATCGTGCAGAAAACGAGAAACATCGAAGCCGTGGCCTCTGGAACCCGCTTCACTTGGCTGAGGTATTGAGTTATAGTAGCAACAAGCTGTGTGAAGTCAGTATCCGGTCAAATGCAAATCCGTACCATGTGCGCCGACTCACCCCCGTTCGCCCGCAGAAGAGCACTAGCTCCACCAGCCAATACTGTCCAATGCCTTTAGTGACCAGGCTCAGAGGTACCAGTGGCCTCCTTGCCCATAGAATCTCGTTGAAGACGAACAAGGTTGCTGCGAGGGCGAAAGTCACCATCCACAAATAGATGTGGGACATTTTGCCGCCATCCTGGCCTGCGACTGTCATGGCTAACAATAGAGCCAGTATGGCAGTAGCAAAGGTAGCAATGCCTATATAATCAAGTTGCTTGACCTTCCCCCCATGGGAGCCTTGAGACTGTGCGGACTCTCTAGGTTGGTTTGGAAAGTATACTCGGGATAAAACCAGACAGAGCACAATAAGCGGCAATTGGCCCGCAAACGCCTTGTGCCTGTCAGTCCACACGTGGTCGTTTTAAGGGAGCTGAGGCCTCTTACCATCTCCACCGAATGAATTGATCACGATGCTGCCTAATGGAGCCCCAAGGCCGCGTCCAATCATGGCCACAACGTTGGTATAACTCCGCAGAAGGGCAACATCCCGGGGCGCGGCCAGATCTAACTCCACGTTGAGATCAAGTCAACCCATGGTGAAGGGAGAGGACAACGCACCGGTGATGATGATTGAAATTGTGATGGTCATGCCAGCAGCGCCGGCACCACTGACAAATCGTCCTGCTACCAACCCAGTCATTGCCGGGCTGGTAGAGCTGTTTGGCCAGTAAGACAAGTGGCCGAGAACCAGAAACGAGTCCTATAGAGACGACATACCTGATAAGACACCCTAGGCCAAAGAATGAGTATCCTATTAGCATGGACAGCTTCCGCCCCCATGTATCTGCCAATGTGCCATTCTGTACAAACGCAGATTCCGTGGTCAATGGATTACATCCGTTATCGTTGGAGAGCAGACACGTACGATCGGCAATGCAATACAGTAGCCCAGGTTATAGCCAGTGACCAGCCATGGGCCTTTGGCGAGCTCATGGAACTCGGAAGCAATGACATCTTAGGTCGCGATGACGACGGATTCGTCAGAGCTGGCAAGAAATGCCCCTGGTGTTGTTAGCAATTGTGAAACAGCCCAGTGAGAACAGAGGCATACCGAGATATGCGATGAAGATCGTTAGTCTGGTACTATTGTTGGTGCCGCCAGCATTGTCCTTGGGACTCTCCGCTGAGTTGGGACCTGTTGGTTCGCTTTCATTTACAGAGCCTGCAAGTAATCCGGTTCGTTCACTCGGAGACATGATACTCATCGGGCAGTTCTGTGGTCTCCGATCAAGAAAGGCGAGGCATGGCAGCAATCTCTGGATTGTGTCGGCATCTTAAGGCTCTGTTAATAAGGTTCTGCTAATGGAGATAGAGGGATTATTCCGCTGATGCAGCACTAGTCGCCTGCATGATACCATTATCAGCCAATCCCCACCTTATCATGACGAGACTCATCAAAGCCAACCCCGCTGGGGTGAGTTATGGAGCAAAGAGAGTCGGTACTGGACTCAATGACCATCCATCATCGACTACCTGGAATGGGTACCTGCCATGTACTAACCTGTACTGCCTGAGAATACAGGAAGCTTACCCAGCCTTGTATACATCGGTCCAGTCTGCCAAACATACTTCCCGATTGAGATAGCCGACCAACAGCAAACTCAGTCTTCTTCGACATTCGAGAAAGACACATGGTTGCTCCGCAATGATTCTTTGCGATCGAATGCTGGACTATAAACAAACAAAGACAGCAAGCGGTACTATACCGTGGTAGACCAGGAGGTCAAGCCAGGAATGTGAACATTTCCCAATCGAGTCTACCGCCCTGAAAGCTGACCCGGTCCCGGCTGCCAAGTGGATCGCGATTGCCGGTTGCGCTCACGGCGATTCGCACATCTTGCTGCTCCCTACTATCAATCACCTGTCCATTCGGTAGCTCGTATAATTCCTACTGAGAGAACTCATTTTATGGGTTGTGCGCCAGCCTCGAGATTGACAATGGTTCCGATGGTTCCAATGGCTTCAAGGGCCCCGGTGGCCCCGGTGCGGATGCAACGACGGGCCGTTGCTGAGGTCCAGGGAAATGGGCGAGCAAGCAAGGAACTAGATGGAGTCCAAGACCCGACTATACTACCTCCATGCAACCTTAAACTTGGCACTATGGAGTTGACCGGGCATCTCCCCCTCGCTACCGGACGGTGACAGCATCTTTGGATCCTTTAGGATGTTTGTTTTCTTCTTCATTCCGCATGCGTGGGTCTGCGGCCCTGTCGATCCCTGCCAAGACAGGGCCTCAACACATGGATCTCCTGCATCCGACAGCTAAACAACACCTTGGGTACAGCATACGAGGTCGATCTTTCCCGGGTTGGGCAATACAGGAGCTCGACACCGGGAGATTACTTTTCTCGGCGACAGAGAGCAGCTGCAGCACCGGGAGCAGTCAGTATCATGATGAAGTCAAGTGAATATAGAGCGTATGAAGATGGCGTATGCATAACGACATCTGAACTCGGTCGTCCGAAGTAGATCTCAAACAAAGAGATGTGGCAAGTCCAAAAGCAGTAGGCTTACCATCAATACAATCGACAATCCGTTCGCCGAGATCTCGGACTTGATCCAATGCCATGGAGGGAAGAGCCGGATATTTTTGGAGCTGGTCTACATTCCGATGCTCGGGCTCAGCTACCACGACGTAACCGAGCACATTTTTAGACCTGATCTCTGATAATATAAGTACACCGTGCCAGAGTCCAAATGGAATTGAGAAAAAGTGCAACGACAAACCCATACGACAACACGACAACCCGGCCCCAGCTCACGGGCCGATTTTCACCATCGACCCAGCTCCCCGACTTGGACATTTCCCTTCTTGTTAAGGTCAATTGGATAGCTTCTGCCCTTCATCAGTCATGAAGCTCACTTACTCCGGGCTGGCTCTGGCAGCCCTCACCGGCCTCATCGAACTGGCCTCCTGCAAGACGGTGAAGTTCAATGTCGACCTCACATGGGAGGACGGTAAGGTAGCTGGGAATTCACGCAAGGCTATCTGGACCAACGGCCAAATTCCTGGTCCGACGTTGCGAGTCAAGCAAGGTGATGATGTTGAGTTCCTCGTCAACAACTCCATGCCTTTCGAAACTGCCATTCACTTCCACGGTTAGTCTCCCTATGCCTGCATGGTTGAAATCTTTCCTCCAAATGCGTCCCAGTGTGTACTAATATCGGGATGATAGGCATCGTGCAACAAGGCACCCCATGGTCCGATGGCGTTCCCGGAATCTCACAAGCCCCAATCGAACCAGGCGACGCCTTCCTATACAAGTGGAAGGCAGATGCATATGGAACATATATATACCACTCACATATGAGAGCCCAGCTCGATGATGGTCTCTATGGCGCCATCTATGTGGAACCTGCCGACTCGGTGGAAAGACCGTTCAGCTTGTTGACCAGTGATAAGACAGAGCTGCAGGCACTGTTAGACGCTGAGAAGAAGACGCAGCCGGTCATTATATCTGATTGGCGCTTGTTCACGTCTGAAGACATCCTTCAAATTCAAGAAGACTCTGGCTTCTCAAGCTACTGTGCCAGTTCCATTTTAGTCAATGGAAAGGGCTCTGTCATTTGTCCCGGTCAAGATCATATTGACTCTCTTACCCGAGCGGGCGAGAGCCAGGCTTTGGGCGATGTGAAAATGAGTGATATGGGGTGAGTTCTGATCTGATTTTTTCTCCCTGATCTTCATGCTAAACATGTATGCAACTAGATGTATGCCACCGACTGCGTCACGGTATGCACGATACGACTTCGATCTCACTAAAATTCCTAAGGGTTACTACGAGGGCTGTGTGCCAGCCCAGGGTCCGAACCAGGTGTTCAACGTCGATGCTTCCAAGAAATATGTCAGCTATGATGTGTTGAGCATGGCCGGCAGTTCCTCGCTAGTGTTCTCCATTGACAACCATCCGATGATTGTCTATGCAGTCGATGGACGCTATGTGGAACCATCCACCACCTACGCGATCAATATCCCCGCTGGGTCGAGATATTCGGTGATGTTGAAACTGGACCAGCCCGCTGGATCATACACAGTCCGTGCGGCCAACAAGTATGCCAACCAGATTATTAACGGCACAGCAACTTTGACCTACACCAACCAAGGGTCCAGCAACCCCAGTGCTACCAGTCCTCAGAGAACGGTGCCGACCAACAACAGGCCTGGTTCGACTACCTCCTCGGGGCAATACATCAATGAGCTTGGTACTGTTCTAGATCGCAGTAAAAGCATCCTCGATGACAACACTCTCGTCCCCTTTCCCCGCGAGCCGCCTGCGGCTTATGCCAACAAGACGTTCATTCTCGACATTGCGCAACTGTCGACCTCGTATGGCTGGAGGCTCGGAAATGAATCCTATCCGATGGATCTCGAGGAGGTTGATTTCCCAGCACTGTTTGACTCCTCCTCGATCCCCACCAAGAACATGATCAGCACCTTGAACGACACCTGGGTGGATCTCATCATCAATGTCACCACTGCCGGTCAGCCCCAACATCCGATCCACAAGCACTCGAACAAGTTCTATGTGATCGGGCAGGGCAACTCGGCCTGGACTTACTCCTCTGTCGAGGAGGCAATGAAGAAGATCCCCAGCAGCTTCGACCTGCAAACCCCTCAGATGCGTGACACCTTCCAAACCCCACCGTCCCTGGGCGCTCCCAGCTGGATGGCGCTCCGATACCACGTCAACAACCCCGGTCCGTTCTTCATGCACTGCCACATCCAGATGCACCACAGCGGTGGACTGGCAATGGCCATCATGGACGGAATTGACGCGTGGCCAGATGTGCCAGTGGAGTATGAGCTTGCGGTCATGCCCAAGCATTAAACTGTTCCTTTCTCTGTGAATCTTGAACAACATGTTGTACTAATCTTGTGAGACCACTGTGTTTGATTATCCATGGTGCACACATTGGTTCCGGGGTGTCGGGCGTTTTTTCTTGTCGTGTGTCATTATCTTTTACAAGTTCTGTTAACTTGAAGCCCGCTGTATATAGAGGTCTGTTTTTCTGGTGTATAGTGCTGCGAAGTCAGTACAATATTACTAATGTCTATTGTTCGTTGAAGTCTTCTTAAGAGTTGTTATTGCTTTGTTTTGTTCGACAAAACAAGCAGCCGTACGCCTGCTCTGCCTGTCATAGTAAGGACTTGATGCGATTGAGCACCAGCCTTGTGCCTTTCAGGCTATGCTATCACTTGAGACAATTCAGGTTTCGCATTCCTTTGTTTTTGTTCTAGTTCACCCCAGTTCACCCCTAGTGAATCACCTACTGTTCATTCTCCCCCTAACAACTCCCCACTCCCCCACCTCTCTCCAAACCACCTTTCCCACTTCCCACTTCCCATTTCCCACTTCCCGAGGCCGTGCCTCAGATCATCCGCACGTACCGATGGATGTCTCCCCGCATCAACTCCACCAGGCACCGGCATGTGGGGGAGTGGAGATGTTGATTGACCAGAAGCTCTCATGCCCATAAATAGCAAGCATGTCTCAAAGTGAATCCGACACAGACCAACCTCGACAGTGTCACTGTCAACCTATATCTACCATGGCCACTACCGAGGACTCAATTCGCGCCGCCTTCCCCGATCTTGAATGGCACAAACTCACGCCTCCAACCGACCACCCAGCCTTCACCTACTACAGTTTCCAACCAAGCAAGACCATCCTTCCCAAAGGCCATGTGCGATCGCCGGGGCACCGATCCTTTCCCACAGCCGTGGTCTACGACCGAGACGTAGCAATCACCCTCCGTGACGGCATCAGAATCTACGCGGACATCTTCCGGCCGGTCGACTCGGACGTTGTCCCGGTCCCCGCGATCCTGCCCTGGAGCCCCTACGGCAAGACCGGCACGGGGCCACAGAGCTACGACAGCATGGCGCCGTTCCGCGCCGGCCTCGAGAAGGCACGTACCTCGGGTTACGAGAAGTTCGAGGGCCCCGATCCGGCGGAATGGTGCCCGCGGGGCTACGCGGTCGTCAATGTGGACGCGCGCGGGTGCGGCGACTCGGAGGGCAACATCGCGTTCTGGGGGCAGCAGGAGGCCGAGGACATCTGGGATGCGATCGACTGGCTGGCGCGGCAGCCGTGGTGCTCCGGCGCGGTCGGCATGGCCGGCAACTCCTGGCTGTCGATCGCGCAGGTCAACTTCGCCGCGCGGCTGTCGCACCCGGCCCTCAAGGCGCTCGCGCCGTGGGAGGGCCTCACCGACCCCTACGGGGACTTGGTCCTCCGTGGAGGAAGACCGCACAACGAGCGGTTCCCCGCCATGATCCTCGCGGGCTTCGCCGGCCGCGGTGCCGCCGAGAACATGCCCGCCATGATCCGCAAGCGGCCCTTCTACGATGATTACTGGGAGAGCAAGCGGATCCGTCCGGAGCGTATCGGGGACGTGCCGCTGTATGTCCTGGCCTCGTATTCGTCCATGCTGCATACCCGGGGCTCCTTCGAGACGTTCCGCGCTGCCCAGAGCACCCGTAAATGGCTGCGAGTGCACCCTTATCAGGAGTGGTATGATCTTTATCGTCCGGAGATGGTCGAGGACCTGGCGCGGTACTTTGATCGGTATCTCAAAGGCATTGAGAATGGCTGGGAGGAAAGTACCCCGCCAGTCAGACTCTCGTTGCTCGGGTTTGAAGGTAGTGTCGTGCAGACGATTCGCGAACGGCCTGAACGGGAGTACCCCTTAGCGCGGCAGGAACTGAAGAGGTTGTATCTTAGGCCGGAGACCATGACGTTGCAGCCTGAGCAGCCGGTTGCTGGATCATCCGTCGCACATGCCGGACACGACCTAAAAGCCAGCTCGGTGAGTACTGTGCTTCCCCCTTGAATCCCTTCTTCCCGCACTAACCACTGGTGCCGACCAGGATTTCGTACTGTACTTCGACCAGTACACCGAACTAGCCGGATACCCCCAGGTCCGCCTCTGGATGTCCTGCCCGGACCACGATGACCTGGACGTCGCCGTGCAGATCCGCAAGATCAACCGCGACGGCAAGCTCCTCGAGCACCTCAACTATCCGTGCCCGGTGCCGGCGGCCGAAGTCCCCAACGTGAACACCGTCAAAACCCTGGGCCCGTCGGGCTTCCTGCGCGCATCGCACGCGGTCACTCGCGATGAAGCCCGGTCGACCGCGGACGAGATCGTGTACCGGCATGATCGACGGGAGCCGATTGCCCCCGGGATCATTGTGCCGTTGGACATCGGTCTTTGGCCGATGGGCATGGTCTTTGGGCCCGGGGAGGGTATCATGCTCCGTGTATCGGGCCACGATATGTGTCTCCCAGAGGTGGACTTCATGCGGCCGACGGAGCCGGACGACGAGAATCAAGGGACGCACGTGGTCTACGGGGGAGGGAGGTATGCTTCGTATCTGGTGTTGCCTTTTGTGTGAGCCGTGGAGAAATGGTTGTGGGAACAAACAGTAACATATCACTCCTTGGCTTCTGGTTTCCAACCGACCACCAACTCAAACAGACAGGGGGCGATCCAAAATGATCGGCCAAGTACATTATTATTAGATGACCAGCGGAGAAAGTCAATGCGCACCTGACAGCGCAGCCTGATCCACTCGTCCCGTTCCTGGTTCTGGTATTTCGGCGCCATGGCGTTCGATGTCCGATCTAGTTTTTATCTTTTTTTTTTTTTTATGTAAATTTACCTTTGTATCTGGACATTCACTAAGAAGGGGCTGGAAGATGACAGCAGATCTGTGCGGGAAACCGATGTTGCTGCGAGACCCGACGATCGTAGTCAGTAATGAGCACCAAAGCAATCTCGAGGGACCAAAAAAGGGAATAGGTACAGTGCTCCAGCTGGTACCCATCGGCTATAGCAGGAGAATAAGTCCGCTCACGGACCAAGAACAGCCTCGAGCAGGCAACCACTATGCGCCCCCCATACCAATGAATTGAGTCCCAAAGAACACTCCGTCGGATATAGTCGGTGCAACTGCACATCGCACCCCCTCAGTGAGGCCGATCAGGCTTGCAGCTAATATCGAAGCGGCAAGTGTTCGTCCCGGGACGGACCGGGCTCGCTTGGTTGGGAGAGAGGCCCCCGTACCTGTCACCGCGGTGGGTATCAATGGAGCATTTCATACCTAGTAAGACTTCGGCCGGAAGGTGGATTTGGGATCGGCCCCGGCTTTGTGGTGATTGACAGCTGGTTGGGGACGGTGTTCTTGTCAGGGGTAGTGTGGGTGGTGGTGGTGGTGGTGGTGTCGGAAGTCTACTTCCGTCGATCTGGAACACTTTGACAAGAGAATGGGTTTCAGACTTGCCATCAGGTTGAAATCAGGCCTCAGTCAAACTGGAAAATTCGATCTACCTCGCCTCGCTGCTTTGCTACCTTCGCTGCGGTGGTGATAGAAGCTGTAGCATTGGTCGCGTCATTGTCAGCTCGACTCTACTGCAGAGAATGTGGCTTGCCTGGTACTTCTTGTCTCAGCTACAAAAACCCAGAGACATGAGGGGAGGCTTGAGTAGGTCCTCGACGGTACAGTAATAAGTCCCAGTGGACGTTTCCGTATGCGTCAGACCCATCCTTTGATCTGGGAATGACGCCTCAACTGGCCCTGCCGGCCGGCGCGTCTTTTTTTGGTGTGTTGCTTCTGTATGCTGCGTCAATGCATGAAATGAAGTGAAATGATATGACGCATCACATCATGTTACATAACCCCCTCCTCTTCCTCCCTCCCCTGCCCCAACAATGGCACCTCGCTTATGCGTACCTCCATCGGAAGCCTTTCTTGAATCTCAACCCTTGAGTCCACCTCCGAACTTGGGTAAGTGTGAGGGGAATTGTGATCCATCTCATCAGCAAATGCAAATAATCTTCCGCGCCTGCATACGCAGTAGCTTTTCCGCATTGGTATTATTATTCGAGTCAAAGCACCGACGAACCATCGTCCTTCGTGACTGCAGTGTACAAAGTACGACAGTAGTCGATAGCGGACCCGGGAATGACTACCGATGCTCTAAGCGAATGCTAAGAAAGAACTAACGGCAAGACGTATCAAATAATTGTCAATAGCTTTGTTCATGCGCCGCGGGAATCTTATTTTTGGAGTGACAGTTTTGTGGTTTCGGTGCCTTAGCAAACTGCTTAGGAGCTGATCCAGGGGGTCACCAGGTGGTTACTTTTTTTTTTCTCCCGGTGGGCTTCGAAGTATATATACCAACTCGAACAACCTGGAGTACTGCACTGGTTGCTACGCTTTCACTTCCACGTGACTTCACTCCAAGCACTGGCGATTTCATTCTTGCGTTGGACCTGCCAGATTCGATAACGGGGCAATCCGCTACGATCCGTGACCAGCTTCCGTCTTTCCGCGAAAACACACCGTATAATTCAGCATGAAGCTCGTGTATCTCGTCTCTGTCTTCATGGCCATGGTGGCAATGGCAGCTCCAGTTCCAGGCACAGATGCGCTGGCGCTGAGCGAGAAGCAGGTACGTTGCTGTATCCTTCTGGATTTGATGATCTCGATGAGGTTGATGGGGTTGATGGGTTCGGATGGTCCGCTAACGATGATGCACCTCTGAAGGCGAGCGGAGCAATGATGCTGGCCAGGAATGATACGCCTACCACTGGGATCTCGAAGAAAGTCGAGGAGGCGCAGCAGCAGCAACAAGGGCAACAGCAAGGGCAGCAACAAGGGCAGGGGCGGAATTGAATGGGAGTCTGGGGAAGAGAGTTGTTGAGTCGGGGAGGGAAGCATATTCAATTAAATGATCGCGGCACAGCGGAAGTCCGCCCGTGTGTTCGATTGGGGCTGCATGAGTGGAAGGGAGGGTGTGGTTCCGAGGCAGAAATATGGGTGACTATGATGGATGATCGTTGGCTTGCAATGCTCGGAGCGTGATCTTATTTCCTTTGTTGGATGCGTGTGAGATCCAAGGACTACCGGATATATATGGTCATGGGAGGCAGCGATGCGATGTGTTACTTGCGTCGCTTGTGCACGTTATCTTAGTGGGAGTTTGATGTTTTTCAAACAGAGTTGCATTGTGTGAGACACTGATACTTGATTAAGGAACGTTTGTATTTTGTTGCTGTTGTTTGATTGTGTTGTCAGTGTCAGCGAGGTGTGCCTGATGATCTACGTATCGATCAGCAGTGAATAGGCTTCAGTTGGGAAGCAATATTACATAGTTCGAATATGCACCTGACACCCGAGGCTTATGCAGAGCAACAGCGCTGCTGTCGTACGCAAGATCTTATTTGACAAATGTGATCAATGTGAAGGGCCACACGTCAGGTTTCCGGTTGCAGCAGGAGTAAGTCTCTAGGTAGGTAGGTAGTCATCGAGTCTACTCAAAGAAGCCGACTGTCTCTCCTGTGGTATGACCACCCCCGAGCCCATAGCCTCAAACAGCTATGTCACACAGACACAGTCCTAATTCCCAACCTTCTCCTTGCCTATGCAGCGGCTCTTTGTCTGCCCACAACCCTTGCCACACATCACGGCGATATGCCTCGAAACGGCCCTCTCGGGATCGCCGAGCGTCACAGAGTTCATGATTCAGGCCTCCGCTCGCTCGGCCGCGGCCGAGCGCACACCTTCTCAGTCGGGTAGTTGGGCCATAAAGCGATCTCTCAATCCATGGACGGCCGGGTGGTATCAATCAAGCCACCTGATGCATGGGGCGCAAAACAACCTGTCATATTGGTCGTGGGGACTGCCCCTCTGAGTTAATGACATACATGACATAATGATAGACTTTTCCCCAGATCGTGGCCAGGCGACATGATGAACGCCTAGACTTCGTCGCCGTCCGGGGTTGGTGCGGGTTCCACGGCGTGGCTGTTGCATCCGGCGGCCGGGAGCCACTCAGCATCGCCATCAATTGGTGCCGAGCCATGGAAACCCGGCTTTCCAACCCTCCACGTGAGCAGCTGACATGGGCTCCCTCCGGGGAAAGACCCTGGTCTCTCGATTAAGTATTCGAGACGAAATGCTCCCCCGTGGAAATTCTGTCGACGACACCTCCATCTAGAAGATTCAAACGAAAGAGGTATGCGAGTTCGTGACATCATGATTCATCATCCATCTCCCCCCATGTCTCGGGGGTTTCGTATACTAGAGATCTATATAACGGCGTCTGTAGACCGGTTACGGCTCGGTTTGAGATCTCGTAGATCTCTGTATAATTGGATTCCGATCAGGTTTGACATCACAAAAGCTAGCGAACAATGGTCTTCTCCAAGCTGAGGCGACCGGGAGGTAGACCCGACACTTACTCTGCCGGTGACAATGAGGCCTCGGCGGATCGAACACTCTCCACGGCGCCGATTCAAGAAGCAAAAGAGGAAGAACTCGTGGACACGCCTATCCCGCTCCTCACATGGCGCTCGTTTCTCATGGGAGTCTTCGTGTCGATGGGAGGGTTCCTTTTCGGGTACGACACGGGTCAGATTTCCGGGTTCTTAGAGATGCCGAACTTCCTCCAGCGATATGGCCAACAGCGTTCCGATGGCACATTTTACTTTACCAATGCCCGCTCGGGCCTCATCGTGGCCTTGGTAAGATTTGTGTTCCTCTGCCCAAAAGTTTTGTTCGCGAGACTGACGCTTCCTTTTAGCTGTCCGTTGGCACCCTGATCGGCGCTCTCGTTGCAGCTCCCATTGCGGATCGCATTGGTCGTAAATGGTCCATCAGCGGATGGTCGGCCATGGTGTGTGTGGGAGTTACGGTTCAGATTTCCTCTCCGTTCGGGAAGTGGTATCAAGTGGCCATGGGTCGGTGGGTGGCCGGCCTCGGAGTCGGGGCTTTGTCATTGCTCGTGCCGATGTATCAAGCCGAAACGGGACCAAGACACATTCGTGGCTCACTGGTCAGGTATGCTTGCTCCCTGTCACTGTATAGATAGCTAGAGTCCAGAGCTCTGACACCGCAACAGCACCTACCAACTTTTCATCACTCTAGGCATCTTCGTCGCCAACTGCATCAACTTCGGGACCGAAGCCATGGATAGCACCGCCTCCTGGCGCATTCCCATGGGCATCACCTACCTGTGGGCGATCATTCTGGGGGTTGGGATTTCGATGTTCCCCGAGACCGTCCGTTACGACTATCGACACGGCAAGGTCGAGCGAGCCACCGACACCATCGCCAAAATGTACGGAATCCCCTATAACCACCGCCGGCTAAAAGAAGAACTCGATGAGATCAAGCAGAAGTACGAGGAGGAAGTGGCGCGCGGGAAGGTGACCTGGGTCCAGCTCTTCAAGGGGCCGCGCATGAAGTACCGGGTTGCAGTCGGCGTGGCTCTCCAGGCCCTTCAACAACTGACCGGGGTAAGTTCCGCTCAGCGAACCCGCACGTTACCTCCAACAATAGCACTGGCTAACAGCGGCCCTAGGCCAATTACTTCTTCTACTACGGCACAACCATCTTCCAAGGCGCCGGGATTAGTAACAGCTATGTCACTCAGATGATCCTCGGTGGCGTGAACTTCGGAACCACGTTCTTGGGTCTGTATCTGATTGAGAACTACGGCCGTCGGCGGTCGTTGATTGCCGGCGCGCTGTGGATGTTCGTCTGCTTCATGATCTTCGCCTCGGTGGGCCACTTCGAACTGGACCGTCAAAACCCAGAAAGCACGCACACCGCCGGGGTGGTCATGGTTGTGTTCGCCTGTCTGTTCATCCTGGGGTTCGCGTCCACATGGGGCCCCATGGTGTGGACGATCATCGCGGAGCTGTACCCGTCCGAGTACCGCGCGCGGGCCATGTCGCTGGCCACCGCGTCCAACTGGCTCTGGAACTTTTTGTTGGCTTTCTTCACCCCCTTCATCACGAGCGCGATTGACTTTCGGTTCGGCTACGTCTTCGCCGGCTGTCTGTTCCTGGCCGCGGGCCTGGTGTACTTGACCGTGATTGAGGGCCGCGGCCGCACCCTGGAGGAGATCGATACGATGTACGTTATGCGCGTGCCGCCCTGGAAGAGCTCCAAGTTCCAGTTTGAGGAGCTGCAGCCCTACAATCGCCGCGGTTCCGCGACCGAGAAAGCCGGTGCGGCTCATATCCCGCGGGTGGGCGATGGCCAGCCTGAAGCCTCACATACTGCGGAGGTGTAATTCCTTTTCGCCGGTGAAGGGAAATTTTGTTCCAGTAGGGTATGCGGGGTTGAATGTATATTATTGATGCTGCTTGCTGTAGTTGCTCATCTTCGTCTTGCATTTCCGTTCGGTGGTCTTAGCTGGCTTGTGAGTATGGTAAATACCTACATCTAATACAATCTCCGATGAATTGAAATCGCGCATGATGTGTGGGAAAAGTAAATGCTGGGAGAGTCTCAGCGATACATAATCCAAACATACAACGACTGTGAACTCATCGCTGGATCGCATTGCACACTCGTTGTCGAGCCTGCCGGAAGATACTACAATACGCTGCCAACGTCAACTGCCCGCGTCAGTCTCCGACAAACAACTGCTGCAGGCAGAAGCCGAAGCCATCGCTCACAACTCCCCGTCAGCGCGCACATCGACGATGCACCACGGCATGCCCGAGGAGCTTAACAACAGGAATCACGTCCAACGATCAGAACTACAGTCTGGCGCAAAGAAGGGAAAGACACATCCGAGGGGGGGTTTATACTCCCGCTACCATCACATGACATCAACCAAAAGAGGAAGTCGCGCAATTCCCCCGTCCGGCCTGCATCCTGTCATGAGTTACGTAGCATTTCGCAGCAACAGAACCTCGGGGTCCAGTCTGCCAGAGGGATGTGGTTGCCCGTGCGGGTGCGCCAGCGATTCGAACAGAGCGCGGCGCGGCTTGCCGGGCGATCTGATATGGCTACCTAGTGAGTATAGAGTAATATGCACCTGCGGACGGGGTGAGTTGGTACATGTTGTGTTGTTGTGCGAGGTGGGAGATTAGGTATGGTTTTTAAACGGTTGACGAGGGTAGAGGAGTTGAATGGTTGCTTGATTGTTGGGTTTAGATAGCGGAAGAGCTCGATGCAGTCACTGCTATTTGCAAATGGAGTGATCGAGTGATCGGTGGCAGATGAGGGAGGTTACGGGTCCATGGGTGGTGGTTTACGCAATGATGGCTACTAGGTAGGAATCTCAACCGCGGGGATTTCTGGTACTAGGTGGAATCGAACGAGGGAAGTAAACTGCCGCTACGGCTTATTCGGTAATCTCAGAGGAATAAGAACAGAAAGGAAAAGCATCGTTCTATGGACTGAATGTTATGTATGAAACATGCAAAAAAAAAAAAAAAAAAAAAAAAAAAAAAAAAAAACAGGGATATAGTTATGAACAATGGTATGTTGAATAGTGTCATGTACAGTCCACCCGAAAAAAAGAAAGGGTACCTAGATCAATCGTGATCTCTTGAAGAAAATAAACCGAAAATGAATCAGTTGTTCAAGCCGACTCCACCCCTTACAAAGCAGCCATCACACCCAAGACACCCGCCACACCGGCGATTCCATAGCCCAACACGGCAGCGGGAGTAGCCTGGACACCTGCGCCCTCGGAGCTGGAGCTCGAGGCGGTACTGCTGCTGCTGCTGCTGCTGCTGCTACTGCTCGAGCTGGAGCTCTTGCCGGTCGAAGTACCAGTGGTGGTGGAGGTACCGGTAGTGGTGGCCGTGGCCGTGGTCACCGTCGCGGTGTTCCCGCCGGAGACGGTCGAGGTGGCGGTGGCCTCGCCGTTGGTGCCGGTGAGGGTGGTCAGGTCGTCCCAGCGGGAGGAGGCCTTGGAGGCAACATCAGAAGCCCGGGATCGCGCGTCCGAGGCCACCGACTGCCCGTAGGACTCGGCGTTGGAGGCCACTGATTCACCCCACGATCGCGCGTCCGAGGCGGCCGCCGCACCGCCCGTCTCGGCCGCGCTGGCGATCGAGGTGGCTGCCGACACGATGTTGGTGACCGCGTTCTCGGCCCCCGAGGCGACGGTCTGCGCGATGCCCTCGGCGTCCGACACTATGCTGCCGACGATGTCGCCCTGGGGCTGGGGGGCGGCGAGGGCGGAGGCGCTGAAGAGGGCGGTGGTCAGGAGGAGGGTCTGGAGTTGCATGGTGACGGTCTTTTGTGGTCTGGTTGAAGGGATCTTGTGGTTATGGTTGGTAACTTTATCGCTTGAGGGCGAGAGTTGTATAGTAGAGGTGGTGAGTGGGAAGTGGTTAGGCGAGATAAGGATAAGGATAAGGGTAAGGATAAGAGACGCTGATGAGAACTGTGATTCGACCCGGGGTATATGGGGTATTTGTATGTTTGGAAAAAGAGCGTAGATCACAAAAGATCAGCGCTAGGTAACGACGAAAAGACGAGCCATTTATAACAATCGGCAGATGCGGCAAACAATGGGTACACAAAACCCTCCAGGAACTGAAATTTGGGGATCGTCAGTCCCCTGGAGGTTCCGCTCCCAGTTTCGTCCCAGTTCCAACAGTTGCCCGAACCACTTCCGATCGCATTTTCTGAAAGGACGAGAATAGCATCCATTCACCGATGGGCATTGCCGTCCCAAGCCACCGTGGCTGTCGGTTTTGCGCATCCACTTGCTCGCGGATTCGACGGAACAGCGAATGGTGGTTTGGTGGTTTTTGAGAAGTCCAACGAATCCTGGAGATCGTTGGACATGCGATTGCGGCTCAGCGACCCACTGCGTATGCCATCCGGTGGCTGAGCGAGGCACCGGGTTCTGGAAATATCGATGCCTAGTTACTAAGCGTGCATAAAGCAAACACAGCACATGAATTTGGCCACTGCACTGGCAACTGGTGCAGTGGGCGAACCAGGGACCTGACCCCAACAAGTTGACCCGACTAAATCCCGAATGGATCAACTGCGAAATACATCTCCAGAGGTCGTGATATTGTAAACAATATTCGTATTTACGGAGTCAATATCTTCAGCTCTTGATTGTTCTACTGAAAGCTTTAACTAGTATTCTTAGTTGCGATGTACAAGTACAAGGTACGGTATCCTGTAAATTCGATCGCAGATCGACATCGGAAATTAGCCACGCTTGACGTGCTCGGCTCCTGGACTATGGCAGATAGGGTCAAGGCCCATGCGAGCCTACTGCAAGTGTCGGATCCCACTGTAAATGATAATCGCAGCGGAACCTTGGCAGTCAAAATATCATGATACTGAGTAAGACAATTCCCCAACAATAATATCTATGGCGCCAGTCGACATAGCGGTCAGCTTATTTGACAAAACACTGCCCCGGGGATGAGGTTAAGCAGACAGTTGTCTGTCTCAGCTACTAAGCCGAGATCGCGACCCGTCTGATCCTCAGAAAAGTCCTGCGCCTGAATGGGGAAGTAAGCAAACACAATAGCATGTGTTGTCGAACGTTGTGTGCTCGCAGATGTTGCTTGATTGTCCCAGCGGACGAGGTCGGCCGTTTCTCCTATCAGTCCTATCAGTTATCCGATGGTACACGTAGAAATACTTCGTGGGACGAGTTCACCGCCGAGTGTGAAAATAATTGATGGCCGGGACTGGCAGGTCAGGTCACCTGAGATTCCGACCTTCTTTTCCCTCTCTGCCCCCGGCCTCTCCCATCACACCTTGCGTTTGCACGGCCGCTACACATCGTCATTTGCCACTCGCTCACTTGTATGAAATCCATTCCTTCGACATCATTGTTGATGTGCCCACGGTGGTGTACCAGTTACACTCTCATAACAAGTATTCTAATCTCGCATATAAATCGTGCCATCTTCGCCTACTCTTCCTTTTTCTCACTTCTCTCTTGATCACATGTGATTGTGGTTCTAAGTGGAACCCCATCGAGACCGTCCGCCGACCGTATTTTCGAGCCAGCTGCTGAACAGCGCTCCACCCCCCACTTGGTCACCCTCCTTTTCTCTTTTCGATTCTGGTCAAATTCAACAGTTTTCCCGCCATTGTGTCAATTCCGCTTGGAATTCTTCCTGAACGAACTTCCCCGGGACTCTGTGACACTTTTTACCCCATCGTTGGCCCGCCAGAGCTCCAGTGTCCCTTGCGGGTCTATGTGACTTATAGTATGGATCACCCCCCAAAAAAGCCCCCGAGTTCTTCGTCCCCAACTGACAACATCTCCAGCACACAGACGCGCGACCTGACCATTAAGCTACTGTGGTTAAACCTATCGTTGCGCAGACAGTTTCCGCTTCTCCCAATCTGGGTCTTGTATCCTGAACATGCCCTCTTTTACCGGCCAGACCTCTGAGTCTGGTCTCGACTATGATGGTAGGTCTGAGCACAAGTCCTCTCTATGCCCCGTCCTTTCTCCGGTTTTTGCCTCTCCTGTAGCTGTAGGTTCCTGGAAGCTTTGTTTCTGGACCAGATTTATATATAGCCCACTGCGACTTTCACCATGCTTTCGACCGTCTTAAGCTTAACGTCCCTTGCGACCTTCGTTGTCTTCGTTGTGCTGTCACTTAGTCTTGCTGGATTCTGACCAATTGTCAAGGGCCCCAACCGATCATGGGAACTGGTCTAAATGTGGCGTTTCAAAGACGTCGTCAGACGACCGGCCACTCAGACTCTGCGACTTCGTCGGAAACAAACATTCCTAAGCACCACCGGGCGTCGGTACCCAAGAAAGCGACAGCTCGAACGCCAATCCATCCCCCGACTTCACTCAGTAGCCAGAGTTCCAGCAATTTGACGGAATCCGCCATACGCGACGAAAAGGATCTCAGTATGAGATACAGCGATGAAGATTCGCAGAATAGTCTTTACAGCCTGGTGTATGAATGGCTTCAAACCGAGAGATCTAAGCGCGGTTCTCATCACTCACTAGGTTCTGGCGTTCCGGATGAATCAGCAAGTGCTGGCCAAGTTGCAGGCAGCAACAGTACCGGCATGTCAGTAGTGGAGAGTTCGTCTTCCAGCACCCAGATTCCCATGGCCCTTGACAAGCTCGAGAAAATCTTGCTTCAGTACGCTGCTTCGCGACAGGATAACGGTGCTGTACGGCGACTTCGACGCCATCGATCCAGAGGACTACGGAGAGGCTCGGCTTCCGAGTCGGACTTTTCGGACCTCGACGTCGCTGCTCCTAGTGTGGATGCGGTGCTGGACAACTCCAAGACCCTAGCCTACAGCGGAGGTGGCGCAGACGATGACGAGAGCGAACAAGGGGCCAGTGTCCGTTGCGCCAAAGACAGAGAAGCCTGGATGACTTTCAAGACTGAGATACTGCGACTCGCACACACCTTGCAGTTCAAGGGATGGCGAAAGCTATCCATGGATCTTGCCGCAGATATTGAGGTCATTCGACTTAGCGGTGCTCTGACAAATGCGGTGTATGTTGTGAACCCGCCACAGCACATTCCGGTTCCGAAGGCCGAAGATGGTTCTTATTCTTTGGTTGCGAGAAAGCCTCCCCCGTAAGTGCCTCCTTCCCCAAGTCAGAAGGAATTCACAAGAGACAATCTAACCCCCTGCAGGAAGCTTTTGCTGCGTATCTATGGCCCGCAGGTGGATCACCTGATTGATCGAGAAAATGAGTTGCAGATTCTTCGGCGCCTAGGCCGTAAGAACATCGGTCCCAAGGTGCTGGGTACCTTTCAGAACGGTCGTTTTGAGGAGTATTTCGAAGCCCGTCCTCTGACACCCCGCGAGCTTCGGGATCCTCTCACTATGAAGCAGATTGCCAAACGGATGAGAGAACTTCATGACGGGGTTGAGTTGCTCCCAGAAGAGAGGGAAGGAGGGCCGATGGTGTTCAAGAACTGGGACAAATGGGTCGATCGCTGCGAGCAGGTCATTAACTGGTTGGACAAGGAGACTCAATCTGCGCACAGCGCAAGCAAGTCAATTTCAGAGCCATGGCGTCGGCGAGGCTTTGTTTGCGGTGTTCCCTGGCCGGTATTCAGGAAGGCAGTCGACAATTATCGCAAGTGGCTCATCTCCAGTTGCGGCGGAAGCAATGCCCTGAAACAGCAACTTGTCTTTGCGCACAACGATGTAAGTCTGTTGCTTCCACTTTTTTTTTTTTTTTTTTTTTTTTTTGGAAAGATGCTGACTGAATGTCGAGACACAATATGGCAATCTGCTAAGAATGGAGCCAAGCCAAGAATCGCCTTTGCTTCGTCCTGAGAACAAGCACAAGCAGCTCGTTGTGATCGATTTTGAATATGCTTCGGCGAACACACCAGGTTTTGAATTTGCGAACCACTTCGTGCGTACTTTCCAGAGCTGCTGTCAATTCATCACTAACCCACATTGACAGTCTGAATGGTGCTACAATTACCACGACGCTGAAAGACCTTGGGCGTGCAACAATTCAGTTTATCCAACTCCAGCACAGCAACGTCAGTTCATCAGTGCTTACCTCAGCCATCGACCGGGATTGCGCGAGCAGGCCTCGCCGTCCATCACTCCACTGATGCGGGCAGGTACTTCCAATTCGACTTCCCTTGCGCCACTGAGTCTCGATGCCGGTCCAGATTTGGATGTGATGGCTAGTGTGGATATCGAGAAATCTCATGCGGACGGTATAGAAGCGAAGATTCAAGCCCTGATGACGCAGACAAAGCTCTGGCGTGTGATCACGTCCGCTCAGTGGGTGGCGTGGGGAATCGTACAAGCGAAGGTTCCAGGCATGGAAGAAGGTATCAAAGCGGACGCGATAGCATCCAACGGTCAAGCGAATGGCAACGGCGCGCACGTGGAGACTCCGGGTGTGCCCACCTCGACTCCCCCGGTAGACGCGGATGTTGATGAGTCTGACGAATTCGACTACCTCGCATATGCACAAGACCGCGCCATGTTCTTCTGGTCTGACCTCTTGTCGATGGGATTCGTACAAGAGGATGAGTTGCCGGCGCCAATGCTCGAACAAATCAAGTCACGGATCACCAAGTACTAGGTGGCCTGTGTTGAGCACGCACGATACGGACGGCTATTGGTCGGACATGAATGACGAAGCGATATTTTCTTCTGCCATATGTTTGTCTTTGTACTGTACATACATACATCATACCTACATAGCCAGGAGTATCATCACATCACTGATTCGAATTGAGTTCATCATCCAGAGGAGCCATAGACAACCTTCTGCTAGCCATAATACACATAGAGGAAGAGAGGAAGATCACTTCCTCAGCAACTTCCTCTGGGTCTCCTTCTTCGCCCCCTCGACCCACTCGTCGAATTTGCCCTCCTGCTCCTTCATGCCCGCCACCCCCTTCAAGACCTCCCCGATGAAACCGACGAAATTCGACTTGCGCAGCGTATTCTCCCACGCCCAGGCCCTCCGCTTGCGCTCCTCCGTCTCCAGCGCCTCGGCGTCGCCGAACTCGCGGGCCCGGACGCGCAGATCCCGGCACACAGCCATGAGGTTAAACCGCGTCTCGCCCTCGGGGTACCGGGCGATACGCTGCTGAATCACCTCGATGACCTTCTCGGGAAATTGCTCGGGGGTGCAGTCCCCGTGGCCGATGGGATGCGGCTGCAGGCCGTCCAGCTCATACAATCGGCCGGCGACGGGCGTGTACGCGATGAAATGATAGACGTCCCCGCCCTCCTCGTCCTGCTGGGGCCGCTGCGTCTCGTCGACGAACGGCGACGACCGCGCGAAGGCGTTGTGCGCTGTCCGGATCGGTTCGCTGTTCGACAGCGCCTCGCCCAGGAGATCCGGGGGGAAGCCGGTGGTGAAATCCTTGAAGGCGCGGAGTTCCGGTCCGATGTCGACTTTTGGGCTGGATGATGAGGATGCGGTGTCGTGGTTGAGGATCACGGAGAGGATCGCTTGCGTGCCGCAAGCGTTTTGGATGGTTTGGTTCGCGAAGAAGAGGGTTGCTGGCGGGGAGGTGTCGTAGGTTCCTGACGGTGGTTTTGAGAGGGATGTGGTGCTTGTGGATGAGGGGGGTTGTTCGCGGATCCATTTGAAGAGGAAGATTACGCCGTAGACGGGGCTGCGTTAGGATGGGTTGGTTAGTGAGTTGGTTGCGGGTTAGGTTGGTGGGTTGGTTGGGAGGGGAGATACCTTAATGAGCGGATCGTGTCGGCGTCTAGGGAGATGAGTTCTTCGAATTGCACGTCTTTGACCCCGAGGTTCTCGATCAGTGAGGTGAAGACGCCCTATATTGCATTTGCGTCGGCGGTTAGATTGGCCTGTTCTGTACGGACTGTGGTTTGCGGCGCTTCGGGGTAAAGGAAGGATGGTTGCTTTACCTCGTCGGATTCAATGGTGCTCCAGCCTCCGCCTTCGGACATGGTGATTTAGCTTCTCGTTGTTTTGTTCAGCAAGGTTGGAAGGTCGTTGGGTTGTAGTTTGTATGATTCGGGGCAAGCTTGATTGTGACGCCAATTCATCATCGGAAGCTGTTGTTTGCTTGGGGTGCAAACAGAAACCGGGGCGCCGCGATCTATCTACCGGATTGGGACTAGTGCTGGTGTGTGGATCGTTTCGTCAAGCTTTGGGCTGGATATACTACCCAGTACTTGATGGTTATAGTCTATCCGAGCTTCGGTTTTTGGGGTTAGATTTCTTTTTGCTATCTACTGCTTTGGCTCCCCTCTGCCTTTTTGTGCATCTCATTGAAGCTTAATTTGAGAATGAAGGTGTCGAGCAGAGCGTTACCTGAAAGCTCAGGTCTCATCTTGCCTATCGATCCACACACACTTGCTTTCCTATCCCAGGGCAGTATGGTGTGTTAGCGGAGGAGTAAGATCATGTTCTTCTCAAGTCACTGAGCGTGGTCTGCTCAGCTCACTACTTTTGGCCTAAAGGTCCCGAAAACCGTGTCAAATACCCTCTCCATGGACGGATGCCCCTTGCGCCTTTTTACCTATGCTTCTGATCCCTACGGACACCACAGACACCGTTCGGCCGCAGCGCTATGAACTACGCGAATTCGATGAGAGCAACATACCCCGCCAAAATCTTTTGACACGAATTACACAGCAATAGCGCAACTTGAAACTGATGTCGTCACGGGCGCCGAAGCACCAGCAGACGGAGAATGCCTTGGACAGCGAGTCGTCCTGGAGTTGAGACGTGCCTGCAGGGGCCAGTGCGCGCGAAACGGAAAGGGCTGCAGATCCTCATGAAAGTCTCCGATCCTAAGTCTAAGCTATACCTTTGTACAAACATCACCCGGCCTCCTGCTTCTTGACTCGCCCGTCCCGTAGGGGGTGGCGAACCTTCCGGGGCTCAGCCAGATTCCCAGCGCCCCCTTGTCTGCCCTGGGAACGTTTGGCATGTTAGACGGGCACGAATGGTTTCGCTTCCTTCTTCACTGGCTGCAAAGGGGTGGTCTTTTTGCCAAAAGTATCCAGTGGGAATCCCTTGAAATCTTGAGACCCTGGCTAGGTCTAAAACAATGGGGAGCGGAATCCAAGACGCAGTGGTCAGTATTCTCGTGATGCGAGACATTGCGGCCGAAAGAACGAGCCAATACCATGGTCAACAGGGCAGAACTATGATGCAAGATGAAGACAAAAATAAGTTTCGAGATTGGAGGGGTGGATGCCTGTCTAAATACTTGCTGCTCAAGGCAGCTAGGGTGATCGACCGTTGGGATAACCATTGATGCACCGTCTGTGTTTCGAAGCGGTGGTTCAGGCTACCAGCAATACTGTGCCTGGCGATCAGATAATTGGCTTAGGTACGATGCATTTGTTATTGGTTGCTTACTTTCCTGGTTAAACTCTATATTACTCATACGCACGAGTGACGCCGGCGTCCGGCCTTACTTATGACTGTGAGCGAGCTATAGCAACACTGGGGATTCGTTAGACGACTCTAATTGACCTTTCAAGATCTTGACGGATATAAACAGAGAGTTTAAGCAAGAAGATCGAGATGAAGCAGCCCATCGGACAGCGACCTCGGTCGGTCGAGCAGGTGGCACGGAATGCCGATGGCTCTCATGTTGTCAAGCCTACGCGGACCTGCATTCCGTTGCAACAGGACATCCACCATTCCTCCACGGACCCAGTCGGAGACCCGGAATAAGCTTGTCAGGTATGCCACTTGCTATTCATATTATTTATAGGAACTGGTTTCCTTCATCTCTTGCTGTTGAGACGTCTGTGCCTTCTCCTTCGTGCGCAGCCCGGGGCATCTCTTGAAAACGCTACTGGAGCAGACGAGCCGTTGTCTACCTCAGTGAATATTGGCACAACTGTGGCATATCTGTCTGATTGTATACAAGCAGTGTAAGTTTTATAATCCCGAATCTCTACACTGTTGAGGGCCTTGATATGGAGAACCCACGACTAATCAGTCCAACTACCCCAGCTTGATCGGCTCCTACCGTGTTACAAAGTCAATCACGCGTCCCCATATACCTCAAGATGAAGAGTGTTGCCCTTCTCTGCGGCCTTCTGGCCTCGTCGGTGTCGGCCCACATCCAGATGTCCAACCCGTACCCCATCCGCAGTCCCCTCAACCCCAACGGCGGTGACAACAAGGACTACTCGTACACCAACCCTCTGTCCAGTGACGGCCACGACTTCCCGTGCAAGGGATACGCGAATGACCCGTTCTCGTCGGTAGCCAACTACTCCCCCGGCGGTTCATACAGCCTGGAACTGCAGGGCAGTGCCACGCACGAGGGAGGGTCCTGCCAGATCTCCCTCTCCTACGACCAGGGCAAGTCCTTCAAGGTGATCCACTCGATGATCGGCGGATGTCCCCTCACCTCCAAGTACCAGTTCTCGATCCCCTCGGACGCGCCCGGCGGGCAAGCGCTCCTGGCGTGGTCGTGGTTCAACAAGGTCGGCAACCGCGAGATGTACATGAACTGCGCCCAGGTCACCATCGGCGGCTCCAAGAAGCGTGACGTCGCGCAGCAGGAGGTCGCCGGGGCCGTCGCCAGCTACAGCAGCGCCCCGCCCATGTTCATCGCCAACATCAACGGACCGGGCGGCTGCACGACCACGGAAGGCCAGGACGTCAACTTCCCCTTGCCCGGCTCGTCCGTGGAGGGCAGCGGCTCCGGCACCGGGTACACCTGCACGGGCTCGGCGGATTTCCTGGGCGGCTCCCACAGCACCAACTCCGCCGCCTCGTCCTCGGCTTCTTCCTCTTCATCTTCCTCCTCCCACAACTCCTTGACTTCCTCGTCGGCGGGGTATGCATCGCCATCCTCTTCCTCTTCCTCCTCCCCCCACTCGTCCGCGTCTAAGGTAGCCTCCGCGTTCGGTTCCAACACCGAGCACACCGTGCTCCTCCCCACTGCCCCAGCCCCTGCCCCCGCAGAGGCCCAGTCCGACCGCACTGCCCCTGTTGGTGGTAGCGGTAGCGGTAGCGGTAGCTCCTCCCACGAAAACGTGCACGGTGCCGCTCACGGGGCCGCCCACAGTACCACCCACGGCGGCGCTTGCGTCGACAACACCATCATCTGCGACGAGGACGGCAAGAGCTGGGCCCTGTGCGCCCACGGCCGTCCGGTCCACATGGGCTCCGTTGCTGCGGGCACCTACTGCAAACACGGTGCCATGCACGCCGCCTGAGGGACTGCCCGGTTCTCCGTTCGTGCCTTGCCTTGCCTATCTATCAAACCTTGTACTCTTTCCCCAGCCAGCGCCTTCTCTTCCCTCCCATGTCTAACTGTCGAGGGGTCCGAATGGCGCCATGCTCTAATGTATCTTGCATAATGATGTATTGTAATGCTCCGTCTGCTACATGTCAGCTAAAAGATTTTTGTTTGGATTAATCTGCAATTGAATTGTAATTTTGTGCATAAAGCAGCTATAACCGGGAGTGGTAGTGGGTCTTCAGAGTTTGTGTTAATTTGAAGGCACCTTCAAGTGTTCCATGGTGACAAAAAGTTGCCAATGTCCAAGCACTAAGATTCTCCAGAGAAGAGTTTGTAGCTGGATGGAAAGAAAGTTTGAATTATGAAACTTTATGGCATTTTTGTACTCAACGAAGATCATATTTAGCCGAGGGTCTTGCCCAGCTCCTCCGCCCGAGACGTAGCGGACTGCACGGCCTTGTCCACGATGTCCTTGAAGTTCAGCGCCTCGAAGGTCTGCAGGGCCGCGTGCGTAGTGCCATTGGGGCTGGTGACGTTCTTGCGCAGCTGCGCGGGCTCCTCGTCCGACTCCACCAACATCTTGCCGGCACCCAGGCACGTCTGCGCCGCCAGCCGGGTCGCCTGTTCCTTGGACAGACCCAGCGCGGTGGCGCTGGCCACCAGATGCTCGACCATGGCGAAGAAATAGGCAGGGCCGGATCCTGGATATCATGTTAGTTAGCTAGAAGGTTCCCCTCCTGACGTGTTTCGACACTGGTCCCTTCACCGAGTTCAGGAACTGAAGGGGCAGGAAAACCATACCAGACAACCCGGTGACAACGTCCAAGAGCTCCTCACGATCTACCCACTCCGTCGCCTTGCTCACACTGCCCAGCAGTTCATTGATGACCTCCTTCTCCTGTGCCGTGACGTCTTCACTGGCGACCAGACCGGAGGCGCCCTCGTTCACCAGCGCGGGGGTGTTGGGCATGACGCGCACGATGTGCGCGGCGCGGCCGTCGCTCGTCTGCACCCACTCGCGCAGGCTCTTCATGGTGATGCCGGCTGCGATGCTGACGACGATGGGGAGAGCCGAGCGCTGCGCCCACGAGCCGGCCAGCTCCTGGCACACGGTCTTGGTGATCTGCGGCTTGACGGCGATGATCACGATGTCGGCGTCCCCGCCGGCGGCGACGTTGTCGGTCGTCGTGCGCACGCCAATGGCATCCATCTTAGACCGGTTGACCTCCCAAGGTTCGGCGACGATGATCTTCTGCTTCTCGATGTTCTGCGCGACCAGGCCCTTGATGATCGCCGAGGCCATGTTGCCGCCGCCGATGAAGGCGATGGAGCTTTCTTTGAGGGAGGGCATTGTGGTTGAGTTGGTTTTTTGGGTGGGAGGTTTGGGTAGGGTATCTGTGAAGCTTCGGAGAGAAGAGAGGAAGGGAGGGTTGAGATGTAGGGTAGTAGTGGTGATGGTGAGGGGGTGGTGATGCTGTTACTCACCGGCGACGAGACCGGGCCGGCGGGCGGCGTGTGAGTTTGGTGGGGGAAGAAGCTTCGGTTGCTGCGGGGAATGGTCTAACCTCTTTCGGATTTAACCTTGGGTGTCACTTTCATAGTTGAATGCATGTGATTGCCAGGAACAGGAACGATTTACTTCTCCAATGCTTGGGAGTATGTTCTGCAAATTCCGTGCTGTGATTTGGTCTGTGATGGTGCAATCACATTTCTCTGTCCTGGTAAAATTTATCACAGTTGCAGTTCTCTGCTGAGTAGCCCCAGGATGAGGTGCGCCCGGATAAGGGTCCGAAGAAAGCTGTCCACCTAATATAGTTTGGCAGTTTCTTTTGTCGGTTTCGAGGGCGTAGTGGATAGCATTGATATCTTCATGGATGCAAGTGTGCTGTCTACGACAAGCTATTGGAATAGCCACTTCATGCATTGGTGTCGAACCTGTCGGGTGACCGATCGATCGTAGCTCAGATGACAACCTTGGTGGCAGAGTAAAGTGCTTTCCCTATAGGCTCTACCCACGAGGTGTGCTCTGTGCCACATTCAAATGCAGTGGAGCCCTTACAGTCCACAGTTGAGTCCCTTGTGTGAGCTGCTCTGTGGGACTCTCAGTCAAGAATAGTTGGTTAGCATCTAGGATGCGTGTGTAGTGAGTTCTCGGAAGTAACACCACATCGCAAAAAGACGGCTCAGTGCTCTAGTCGAGCTTCTCAAGTCTGAGAAAGTGTAAACTCAGCTAGGGGGGGTTGCACTTACTAGCTGCAAGACTCAGATCTGGGTGTTGAGGAATTACATAAACCCCTCGTAATTCCGTCGTTCGAGACCAGACAAAGACTGCTCCGAAGCCATCTCTCAAGCCCGATTGTCCCAGGCCCTCACCATGTCGGAGTCTTCTAACCTTGTGTCACTGCAGGTGCGCATCTGGGTGGCGGAGAAGGACGTTGCGAAATATTTCGAAGCCCTCGGGGCTGTCTTTTACAAGATTGCCCGCGAACCCGAATGCACGCTCTTCGAAGTGTATCAGTCGCAGGAAAACAAAGGGGAGATCTTAGTGCTCAAGAATTGGTGATCTCGTCCTAGTTGTCTATCCTTCGATCGTCATCTGTTGCTAATGAGTGTTCTTCTAGGAACGCATCAAAGGAATGGGTGGTGAATGTATGGCTTCTGTTTCTTTCACGAAAACAATAGTTCTCTTCAGCTTGGAACTCTTCGGCTGATATGGGAGCAGGTGGCGATGAAAAGACCGTATCTCGATGAGTACCATGATACTGTCGAACCATTGTTTATCAAGCCCAAAGAGGTGACAATTGCCGATCGTAAGGCTGGGAAATTCAGTGTGGTAAAGACCAACAATGGCCAGATCTGGCCGGCGGATGGACACGAATAGTTGGTCGGGGGATGAGTTCGCGGCTTCTAGTGGTGATGGGACCTCATAACATACCGAGTGTTTAGTTCAAATTGAAGAAACCATATCATGTGACAGACACTGGAATGCCTCGAAGTAGTAGAAAGAACTTGGAACTGTATCGACATGTTCTGATCACCTGACATCCCAGGCTCGTCGTGTCGAGTACCCGATCAAGAAGCAGCCACCAACCTCAGTCCCATCCACATCTCTACATTTCCTCACTTCCCTCAGAAAAGTAGGAGAAGCTCTAGCGAGTTCTCTCAGCACCAGAGACACCAGCGATCTGGAGCCAGCACTTGTCTTCCTCAACAAACTGCTTTCTTCATCGCCTCTGAAACTGATTCTACGTTGTTTACTCTCTTCAACCTGAAACTTAGTTTCTACCCTCCGCAACACATCCTCAACTTGGCATCAGTCATGGAGAATGAACTCTCAACCCACACATCTCATGAAAGTGATAAAACATCAGAGTTATCTCACAGCAGCCCACCATCACCCCTCAGTATTGGCGTCGATTCACAGCACGTCTCCAAGCAGCTACCGACCGCGGACAATGGAGTTCCGACCCAGGTCACTCACAAAAGTGTAGATCCCTCAAAGTTCTCGCACAATAGCTCTGGCATTTCTCCTGGTGATGGAGTTTGTCCAACAACATCGCAGTTTAATCTGTGTTATCGATCCAAGTTTACTCAGTGGAAAAATGCGGCCACTGCGCATATCCCGGGCTCTGATTCGTTGGAATTCTACATACAATCCTTCTTAGACCTGCTCAAGGACGTTCCTCCATTTTTTCATTCTCCTCCGGAAGAGGTGGTGAGAAATGTGGGCGACTGTCTTATCGAATCAGAGATATGCATCGAGTCAACGGAGGATCCCTCCTGCGATCAACCTCGTATGTCCCTCAAATATCGTCACTTCATCGCAAAGCCATGGCCTGTCACATGCCGTACTGCTACAGAAATGCCAACAGAAGTTGCAATCCCCGCTTCTGCGAGTCCTCTTCGTGCCGGTTATTTCACGAGCATCGCCCTAGCCTGGTCTTATATCTTTTCTGCCCGCTGGGTGGAGATTCTACAGCAAGCTGGGTTGGAGTGTCAGATGTTTCATGCAAAAGGCTTGAAGCTTAAAAACTCTTTCTGGGACATTGTTCTGCAGGGTCATTGGGAAGCTCGATGCAGGGACCCCGAAGACGAGGAAGAACAAGTTTACTCTCCGTGGATGCTGAGACTGTCTGACATTTCAAACGCCCAGTATGTCTATTGCCTGAGATGTTCTCCTTATCTGCCCGCTAACTTGCTTGATAGAGATGAATGGGAATCGGTCGCTTCAGATTCGGCCCTTGCTTATGGTACCCTTGTCGAATTTTGCAAACTCGAAGGCCTCGAAGGAGAGTTGCTCATTGGTCTTACTTCGATCCTAAACCTAGAATCATGGACGATAGCTAGACCCAGATTTCCTCTCCCTGCGATGATCTCAGCCATGCCTGTGAGCCCAGGCCCACTTTGCACGAACACGATTTACTACACCTTTTTTCTTTCTATCTATTAAATTTATACTGAAATTTCCATCTCCATCAGTAAAACCTGCTAATCAAGACAGACTATTCCAATCTATTGATCAATGCATGTTTCTCAGCGCAGCAAAAGAGGCTATCGACTCACTGATTTGTAGTGTGTTCTTTGACCCTAGCGTGCCCTGCAATCTTGTAGGGGCCGCGTACCTAGGTATAAGTGAAGCTCTCTCGCCATTGGATAAGCTGAGCAAGCAGCCGCTGCAGTCAGAGCACAAATCCTATGATAAGCAATGTCACCCTATTGACAAGATTGATGAGCGGCAGCTCCTCCACGCGATAACGTATGAGAAACCACATTTGAGTCTTTTCTGGGCAGCCGCAATTTACACCAGCCAGGTGAGGCGACTTTTAAGCCCTTCGCTTAGCGGGACATCAATCCTTTGTCTGCCTGCCGCATACTGGACAATAACAACACAATCGTTCCTTCAGATGAACTATCGCTCAGCCTCTTCCCAGGAGCTCATGAGCACTCGGGTGGATGAGTTTCAGACCTCGCACTTCTGTCTGTCCAACACTAGTTCACTGCCGTGGCCATGGTCTCCCGCACCACCATTTGGCTCAACTCCAGTCACAAATCTAAGCCTCGAGGCTAGGGAGCATCTTCCACACACGCATATACCTCGTTCCTGGCAGATATACTGGGTACTAGAATCTGGGCAAAGGATTCCCGCCAGCAGCAAACATGAGATCGAAAATTCAAAGGTTTATATCATCAATTACTTTTGTTGTGCAGGGGATGCTGAAGAGTAAGCCTAAGACAACGCTCAATTCTTGGTATGTGCTGACAACCCAGAATACCTCACCCTCTGAGAGATCTGGCTGAAGTGCAATCGCACAATGGAACACAGAGGCTCTTCTGTTGGCAGAGACATCACGAGGGTGCTATATGGCTTGACGATGGGTTGGGTGACCTTGACGCAATCCGACGTATGCAGATACATCCTTGGATCAAAGACCCCTGGAACAATGATGACTTTCCGGTTTCTAAACCTCAACACAAGGAGCTTGATTTGGAGAGAATCTTGCAATGGAGAGATGCGGTAGAGCACGATGGCTACTAGAAGCTTGATTTATGATAATGTGAAATGACCGCGCCCAGTATGTAGGAGATGAAATACATCAATGTCGCCGCAATATGCGGGTATGCCTCAGCAGTACATTTGAGTTGTCTTCAGGGAACTGGGTCAGCGAGTCCAATTCCCTTCGACATCTTGACCCCCCGCAGTCCCAGTCTCAGCGTAGTCCTTATTCTGCTGCTTCAGAACATCGACCTGCTCGACCTTGTAAAAGTCGAGATCCTCCCTGCATGCCGGGTGATCCTTGCATCCATAGCACACCCTGTATGATGTGTATTCTAGAGCCTTGAAGCCCTTAGAGCCCTTAGAACCCTAAGAACCCTTCGAGGCCTTAGCTTCCTTGGAAGGCCTTCTGAAGCAGTTGTCAATGGTGCATTCCTTCCATCTATTCGAGCAACCAGCCGCAGGGCAGGGCGCAGTGTGGTGGTGATTGTTGGCGTGACCACACACTGCGCAAAACCCTTCCATTCCCGACTGAGTCGTCATTTTGTCCGGATGAAGCTTGACTAATTTTGTAGGGACAATCCATAAGTTTATATCCCGACTATTTTCAGGATTGTGAACAAACCTACCAGCCGGACAAAAACTAGATTCTACTCGACTCTGTGGGGAAAGGCTCACATGCTATGCTTCAGGCGAGATTAGACTATTAGACTATCTGGTCAGGTCAGCTACCCGCTGAAATAGTATGTTCTGGGGGCTTGACTGAGATTCTTACCGGACCGGCCGACGAAACTGCAGATAGAGGAGGACTGAAGGAGTGAAGCTTTTTCTTTAGGTGTAACCAGTCGCCGGAAATTGTCGTGTCGATGTAGGTAGAGAAGGAAAGGCAGAGCTGGAGGAGGGAGCAGCAGCAGCAGAAGAGAAGCAGAGAGACATCATCTCCATGAGATGTAGAAGCACATCTCTTGGTGTTTCAATGGATGTGTTACTGTTACTCTGGCGAAGGGCAATTCACCTACTAGGTGACTGCTGCTGCTGCTGTTGTCGTGCCTCCACTGTTCTCATTCTGCGGCCCAATTCAACCTGTATTACTCCCATCCTTCTCCCCCAGCAAGTACGTCTCCTTGGAGCCATGGCTCTAGTTCAAGGCCCTGTAGACTCGGCATCTCCGCGACCAAGCCCTCTAACCAGGACAGCTCGTCGACCCTCGGGCTGAATGGCTCGGTCCCGGTGTCCCCGGCCTGTCCCCCTCCGGGAGCCAGGTTCAGCACCTCGGCCAGCACCCTTGTATCCTCCGAGCGACGCTGCTGGTACAGCGACACCAGCAGGCGCGCGGTGCTATACGCCTCGCGCATCGTGGCGGTATCGTACGTGGTCGCCACCAGCGTCACCGTCTGCATCGCCGCGGGCAGCATCGCCAGCGACGCGCGCGTGTCCATCTCCAGCAGGACATAGAGGATCTGCATCGGGACGTTGGCGACCTGGTGCCATGGGCTGCCGTCCGTGACCATGGCGCGCGCGTACGACAGGGCCCGGCCGAAGAGGACGAGGACCTGGTCCGTGACCTGCGGAGTGATGGAGAGGTTCAGGATGCGGAGCCGGCGCAGGATGCAGAGGACAAGGTTGGTCTGGGCCATGACGGACGGGGGTTGCGTGTGCGTGCCCTGCAGGACTCGGGTGAGGGTCGGCTCGAGGTCGCTGTCTGTTTGCGAGTTCTCCGGGTCGAGGCATGCGGAGGCCGGAAGCAGGTTGAGCACCTCCTGCGTGTAGTCGCCGGGTTTCGTGGGCGAGGCCGGCAGCGGCAGTCCCGTGCGGAAGGAGACGCGCGAGAGGCCAAGGTCGAACGAGGTCCAGATGTTGAGGTGGTGCGCGACGCCCACGAGGCGCCGGCTGATCTCGCGGTCGTGCGGCTGCGTGGCCGCCGGCGGCCGCAACGGGACGGTGTCGTGCGAAGTGGTGGTGGAAGGTTCGAGGTGCAGACCCGCTGCCTCGATGAGGTGCATCAGCGTCGAGCTAGCAATCCAGGTGGCGTGCGGGGCCGCCGTCATGCGCATGTAGACCACGCGCAGCGCCCAGCCCGTCACCAGGTCGAGGGATGGGGGACCGGACCCATCGTGGCCGTCGAGTATCGACCGGGCTGATTCGACGAGGTGAAGCTCCGCGATGGTCATGCTCCGTTGGGAGAAGAGCGAGCCCAGCGCCGCAATTCCCGCGAGGACGCTGTCGTAGATAGAACTGCTGGACAGCGGGGTCTGCCATCGGGTGTCGAGGCGGTCGTCGAAGACGCGCCGGTCGATGAAGCCGTAGCAGGGATCGATCTTGGTGAAGTAGACCTCGGCCAGCTGCTTCATGTCGGCCACCGAGATGACATCGACGATGGGTCGGGCGAAGATCGCCCCCGTTCCAGAGGGTAACTGCCGTGCGCCGATGTTCCATCCGAACAGGGCCAGTTTCGGCGCCTGGGCTGGATCAACCTTGAGGCCCATCTTGCGGACAAACGCGGCGGCGGAATTCGCCTCGAGACTGCGGGCTATGCCTTGGTGGTGACTGGATTGAGTGACGGCCTCATCGGGCGAGCGAAGGGAGTCTGCTCCCACCGCTGCTGCTGTGGGGGGGGATGGCTTCATTATTGCCGTCGCAGTGGGAGACGGCTGCGATAGACGACGTTTCCGGGGCGTTTGATCTGTATAGTGACAGTTATAACCCCAGTCGGTGCAGGTTGCGCAGGGAGTGGCTCCATTGCATTTCCTTTTTCGCTGCCGACATGGCTCGCAAGCGACCCGGGCACGTTTGCGCTTGAGCTGATCCCCGGACTCCGACATGGCGAGTGGGAGGAGCGGAATTGAAGTCGTTCCGCCGCAGGCTTTGAGGGAAGCGCGGATCTTGCGGGCTGGCGGCCCGCCCGCGGCTCCTTTCCCCGTCCATTCGAGATGCACCATTGCACCATTTACTCGATACTCAGTATTGGAGGTTGGAGATCTGGAAAGGGCAAGATGGCATCTATCATTATATTCGGTCTCGAACGTCCACTTTGGAGATCTGGTCTTCTTGTATTTGGTTTCTAGTTTCGGTGTCAACGCTTGGGGTTTTCTACATATAATTTGGGACTACTCGTGCACTATAACTTCTTGCACTAGTAATAACGACGTTACCTAGTAGATCGAGTTATATACTACTTCCTCACTCTCATTCAATTGCTGCTCTTGCGTCAATTAGCGAGTATATCACTCAGTACGATATATGACAACATCCAATCAATGCATTCGTACTGTTTGAGAACTAGACGCAAGAGGCAGCGTCCTTAGGGCCTTGCCGCGAAGGGTTGAGGTCAAGTGTAACCCACGCCAAACATCACGATGCACTCATCTGGTAGATGCGGATAAGACGCAGTCTTTTCATGATGCTAGACCAAGAGCTGAGGTCTTGCTACAGTAAGACAAACTATGAGTAGTTGGTGTTTGACTTTCTTATCACCTGCCATTCCGATTACGGCAGCAGCCATAGCCTAAATCAATTGAGTCGTCTATGGTACAGCCCGTCCCAGCATCATCAACATTGGGAGACGAATGATGTCGCTGGTGGTAGTACCGTAGTCGCTCCATCGCTTGATCCCAGTTAGCGTGCGGCATATAGTCTTGAATTATGAACAAGCCCATGTTATTATTATCATTTCTCTGGCATCCTACCCCATGCGCGACCCATACCGATCTGTGGGCAGAATCTATATTTTCTCCATGTTATGCGGAGTACGCCTCCTGCGCCAGGGTTAAAACTGATATGTACTTATAAAAATCTACCCCAATCAATGAAATCATCTAACCATCTTTCGTTGTCTGGATACGAGCCACTGCACTGCCAGGAAAACTCACTCACACTCTTAGTCGCAATGTCGTTGGAAAGCTTTTCTCGGTAGCCGATCAATGAAGTCAAAATGGCGTTATGCAAGATGCGGGGTACTTAACTAGTTTCCCTGTACTCCGCCGACTCCCTAGCAGAAATAGCCCCATAGCCTAATGTACCTCCATCGTCATCGATCGGAGAGTTCGAGAATTGGGCGAGGAGGTACGGAGTAGACGGATTATTGACGATATACCTACATGTATTGAACAATCTTTGTCCTTGCCGGTGATGCAAACAATTCTCTCATGTGATGTGATACGCACGATTCCATAGAGTTCGAGGACGGAACCCGTACGCGAGATCTACACAACGAATACAACATCATGCCATGGCGGGGTTTTGTTGTTGATCACTGCGAGAATGAGATATACTTCCGAGTTCGCCTAGCAGTACAGTGCGGAGAGCAACCAGGTGATTGGCATCGGGTGAGGAGCAGGAAGTGGGACTGGAAGACAAAGATGAGAGAAAGGATGTATCATACGCGCCTACGGATTTGGCGATGAAGACAGAACAGAGAAGATTGATGATGTACGGCTGATGCATGTCTGCATTTGCATTTGTGGCCTTCGTGGGGTGCAGTGGAGAGATAGAGAGAGGCTGACCGAGGGATAGATCCATTCCCCCGTCTGGACACATCCATCCACCAGGGGCATGCAACGTCGGTGGCGGGAGCCGACTCGGCGTCCCTTTGCCTTTGCATATGGATGGATCTGTTTGACGATGCAGTGCAGATGAAACTGGAGAAAGAGAGAGCAACAGTACTTACTCCGTACTGCGTACAGTGCATACATACATGTATGTATAAGCATGCTACAAGTTGCACAATTGTGCATACAGCTTACGAGTGCGTCCTCCATCAGTCAATCCCACTGCCGCCGCCCAGGCAACGACCTCCCGCCAGGGATGGATAATGAATGGGGCGAAGGACGAACTATGAATGCATGAGTAAGTTGGAATGTCTTCAACACGCGGGGCCCGCGTTGCCAATCATGATCTCGCTGCAGTAGTTAGTGGCTGCACAGCTGCCGGAATAGCCACCACAAGGTTGAAATGAATCCCTTGCTGAATTCCGATACATCAGTTCCTGGCGGGACTCTCTCTCGCCTCGGACATCATCAATCAGTCACCAGTGGCGAGGGACGGTTGCCCCCCCGTCCCATCGTCCCAGCGCTCTGGTGTTTGGCGTCGCCTCAATTCCGTCCGATTGGGCTTTTTTGGCAACCTTCTAGACGGCTCACTCGAGTTCCCACTCTCTCTAACATGATTTGTGAATGGCTCTAAACGGCGACGCTAGGAACGGATTTTCTCTTGAACTGAGTGGAGTCTCATCTCAGCTGGTGATTCGCTTATTTGTTGTGCTTGTTTTCCATATCTTTTGTGGGTTGGTGCATAAAGTCATGAATACTAGAGCGGAATAGGGCAAGACTGGCACCAAAAATCGACGCTAATCGCACTATGCACTAGTGTAAGGCTTCCTTTTCTGTTTTTTTTCTTTTTCTTTTCTTTTCTTTTTTCTTTTAACTCTTTCCTTGTGTGTGTCTTTTTTTTTTTTTTTTTTTTTTTTCCCCCATCCGTTGTAGTGCCCCTCTACCGAGTACTCTCACTGTGTTGCCCTTCTTGCCTTAACGTATCCTCTAGCTCTGGCAGATTCATTGTGCTTGTCACTCTGGTCATAAGGCTTTCCATGTCCACTTAGTCATAAGAACAGAGAAGTCGATTCTTGGAGCTGCGCTGGCATGTTCCATGGATGCAGTTTGAGCTATGATGCATCTACCCGAACACGGTGCACTCAGTATCGAGTAGTCAACCCGTAGCATTTAGACAAATTCCAACACCAGTATTAACCATCATGACTTGTAACGGGTGCAGTAAGTTGAGTCTAGCTCCGGGAACTTCCCCAAATAATAGTCCGATATGAGAGCAAGTGCGATGATCATGTCGGTGAGCAAAGGAACTTTGGTGCTAGTAGCCTAGTCGGACACAATATATTAGGTCTTTTATGCATTGGTATACACAGGGTTGTTTGTTTATGGCTCTGGTATAACAACCATTAAGCAGCCCTTTTGTTTTTGCTTGACGACCTCGTACGGCGCAGCTCTCTCACAGCCGGCAGTATCCCTGAGAATTTAAACGTAGGGACCCGATTCGCCCTGCTGGAGGTGCCTGGAGACCATCCTAGTGAAGTCCATGCCTGCAGAACCTCAGTTGATCATAGTCTCTGCAACCAATAAGAGTGGGAGGGATCCATTCTGGTCGTCATAGACACATGGTGGGGCCCACCGTAGGTACTTTTTTTTTTGCCCCTTCCGCGAAAGATGGGAAGTTCAGCCAGTCGGCCGCGTTTAGTTCGGGTCCTGCAGGCTTGCTTCATTATGAATCTTACGGGTTGGCGGCTTTCCGGGTTCTTGTTTCCTTTCTTTTCTAGTCTAGTCGGGTCTGGTCTGGTCCGGGTCTTGGGGTCTTGGTCTTGGACCTGCTGCTGGGCGCGCGCGCGCGCGAGAGAGAAAGAGAGAGAGGCCTTTCGTTGTCCGGACACACAGACACACAGACACACACAGCGACACACGGACTCCCTCCTTCACAGGTTCAATGCTCGTACATTGTGAACAGCAAAGAAAGCGGTGTAGGATCGCTCTGACTCTAAAATAGATAGTCTGTCTCTGTTCCTGTTGACTTTTTCCCAATGCGTCTCGAGGTGGAGGTGGGGGAATGGAAGTTGTTGGCCGGGAAAAGAAGGCTGTTAAGGAGTCACTGAGAGTAAACAAAAACAATAATCCGCCTAGTACTCTCCGTACTGGCAGCTACAGTACCTGCCAACGCTAGGATAGGAAACAATTTTTTTTCCTTGAACGCTGAGTCAAATTATTATTATTCATCATGGATGACTCTGGCGGTAATTTTTTTTAGGGAGCAGGAAGAAGAAAGTTCCTTCCCGACATTCCTTAAAACGACCATCAAACGCTCCATCATCGGGTCGGACCAATTACCGCCACCCTAAAACATCCACCCGTGCTGATTTTCAGCCGGCTCGAGAGCAAGTAAAGTGCGAAAGGAAAAATAAAAAATCTGGCAGTGAGAGATGATGGTTGTCAGTCACAACCACCACCACCACCACCACCACTGCAACCAAGTGGGATTCCTCAGGCCATCTTCTTCTTCCTCTTCCTCTTCCTCTTCCTACCGCCCGCCTTAATTGATTTTCTATTACTTTATTTTTTCTTCGCCATTTCTGGCTCTTACCGTTACCATACAGTAGACTGGGCCCTTTTCTACTTCTTCCGACGGTTCGGTGGTCCCTCACTGGCCAACGAAGTTTCCGGTGATTATTCCATTCCCATTCCCTCGACTTTCCATCTTGCCTTTTCTCGGTGCCGCCATCTTCATCATACATCGGCCCTCCATCCCTCCCTCCCTCCATCCACCCATCCATCCATCCACCCTTCCCCTAGCCGGAAACTAACCATCTCCCACCACCACCCTTTCCCTCTCCCCCCCATCCCATCCCATCCCATCCCATCTTTCTTCCTTACTATTCATCCTACCACCTATTCCCCCCCTTTTCATCATACATTCCTCTTCTTTTTGTAACATCCGACTTTCGCCCCCCTCCCCCATCTCCATTATCTACTTCTCCATTCTAACCTTGTCTTGTGTCTTGGATTTTGTGTGTTATTAGACTCGTTCTCCTTATTCTTCTTAGTCCCCGTGCTCTCCTGTCTTGCCTATACTGTATTGTTCCGTCGACCCGTGCTCGGATTTACTAGTATACTATCGCGTTGCTTATCCTTCCCTGCTTCCTCTTGTATCCTATTATTTCCTCGCCTCCTCTCTCTTCAGATCCTATTATATTCAGAAAAAAACATGCCTTATAATACCCGTCGCAAATCATTGTCGCTCCCCTCCTTGGGGATTCACCTTCCGAACTCGTCCCGCCGCTCTCCGTCCACTTCGAAATCTCCGCACGCGACTGACGACCACCTGCCTCCGTCCAAGAAAGTAAAACGGTCGCACGATTCCTCATTATCGCCGGAGCCTTCCACCACCACTACGCGCGCTACAGATAGCAAAGACCATCCGACACCTGTTCGTTCCTCGGGTCGGCGCAGCGCCTTGGAGCACACGCCACCTCCCTCTCCCACCGATCGCACGGTCGCCCCCAAGATCGACACAGAAGGCATAAACGATGACATCGTGGTCGGCGTCATTCAACAGCTGGAGAAGACGGGAAATCGTCCTCACCTGGTCAAGGAATTGGCCGCTGTTCTCATTGCGCTGAACGAGAGCGTCGCAAAGTAAGTCCCGCAGCCGTTCTACTCTTATCTCGTCTTGCAATTCTGACATTATTGCGCCTCCAACAGTTCTGCCAACCCCGCTGCTCTCCTGTCTTCACGGCTAAGCGCGTATATGAAGCGCCCCTGGACTGCACTGGCGCCTTGCCCTGTGGCCAAGGAACTGATTCCCATCCACCCACGCAAGGTGTACTACTTTTTGACAACTTCGCCCCGTCAAGCCATCCCAGAGAATTCGGACGATGTCATAATCCCTGGCGTGGAAGGAAAGGATATGACGCCTAGCGTGACGAGTATTGATCTGGATGAGGAAGACGCGTTGGCGCGGGAGCGGTCGCGCCTCAGCCCCAGTCCCGAGGTCGACCTGTCCTCCCCCGATTTCGACGAAGAACACATTGACTTGGATGGTCGCACGGGTTCCGCCAGCACCTCCCGGTCGAGTACTGAGTTTGGAGATCACCACACCCGACTGATGCACTCGAATCGGGCTGCATCCCCTCCACTGGAAGGTGATGAGAAGGAATTCACACAAACCGCGAGCGCTGTCCGTGAGCGGGCTTCCGAACAAAAAGAAGCACAGCAACAGCCCTCTACCACACATTTCTCTGCGCTATCGGAAGGTCTCAACGAGTTGCACGAAGATAGCATGATTATTTGCGGCACCCCCGTGGACGACAGTCACCTTTCGTTTAATGGGGATCGCATGGCTGATGAGCCTACCCACGACTACTTTTCTCGTGGCGGTCTACCTGAACTTTCTCCTCTCCAAGGCCACCTCCAACAGCAGGATCTCGACGAGGCGGCCGTGGCGGCTCTGTTCGGTACTTCTCCTTCCCCTTCTCTCACATCGGTGGCCTCATCTATCTCGTCTGGCACGAGTGTGGTTTCGGATGACGGACTGGATGGCGAGTCTCAGTCGGAAGCGATTGGACGTGCCCCTCAGATCAGTCTACCCGAAGACCCCACCGTTCCCTCAGTATCGACGCTGAAGCGTCCCATCGACATGCTGAACAGTGAGATGCCTGATCTGGACATGAAAATGGCAGATCTGGCTGAGCACGAAGACAAGGTCTCGCTAGGAGCTCGCGCGCTGCCTCGCTCAGACGGAGCGACGGGTTTCGACTCGTGGCGAGAGCTACAGAGTCCGGAAACGGTCGATGTTCATGAGCTCGATGAGATGTTTGATGATCTCTAGATTCCCGCGACAACAAGACACCAGTCAGCGGGAATTCTCCCCTCTCCACTCCATTTCGAAACTGGCTAGCCTTGATTGGCTCGCGCTCAACAGGTCACTCGCAACCTGTTTGCTATATCCCTGTATATTTTTTTA